GAATGGCCGGAGGAAAGAAGACGTGCGATGAATCATGATGCTGGCGTTCGGAAGACAGTGGCGCTTGCCCTTCTCGCCTGCGGAGAGCAACAGCGACCCCATGCTTGCCGCTTGCCCGATACAGTAGGTGTGAATAGGCGCTGAAACATACTGTGCGCGCGATTCAATCTCCGGTGCGGTAGGCCAGGCACACAAAATCAGACCTGCATCTACCAGTGAGAATGAGACAACAGCCATGACGTCGGCGTGAGACTAGACCCACTGTATCGTAGATCGCGAGTCCCGCCGTGACACTGCCTCCTGGCGAATTAATGTATAGGTGGATCGGCTTCGACGTATCCTCGGCCTCAAGAAACAGGAGTTGCGCAACAGTTAGTGTCGAATCTGTGTCTCGGATCTAAGTCACACAGGCCAATCAGAACAGCGCGATCAGAGCAGAAAAACGAGCTCCACGGACGGGACCATAGAGCATGATCACGCGCTCACGCAGCAGTCGGGAGAATATGTCATACGAGCGCTCGCCTCTGCCCTGAAAACATATGAGTTTGAGCCGCAATACCATGTAGTATTCCGCGTCGAACCGTTTGCTCGATGACTATGGGGACCAGATTCGCCTGGGGCGCGCCGAAACCGGCCAGAGGGTGGTATGCGCGTCGGCATGGAAGTGAAGAGCGAAGCAGGGGGCGCAGAGCTGAGCGCAGCATCGTGGTCGGGGTCCAAAGGCGTGTCGCGTCAGATTTGAAATTTTGGTTGACTCACGTCACGGTGGCGTGACACGTGGTGACTTGGCCCCTTCAACCGCAACGCGCTGCTTGCTCGTCGCGCTGCCGCACCCTCCGCACCCGACGCGCTGTGCCCCCAGCCACTATGCACTCACGTACGCGCTCGATCCGATCAACTGAGGCGCCGATGGACTTTGAGTTCACCTCCCGTCCTCAGACGACACCCGCCTGGGCTTCGTCCAGCGGAGAAGACGACCCTTCGACGCCCAAAAAACGTCGGTCTCGTTATTGACCCCGGAATCGGTTTAATTTCACGTGTTCTCTCTAGGTCCTCATGATGCTATGACTCCAACGCCTCTAACGCCCTTGCACAACCCCATCTTCGGTCAAAACCAGAACATCCCGTTTATCTTCGACACACCCACGCGTCCGCCCGCCGCACCTTACCCATGGGCACCACCGGCCAGCTTCTCTCCGATCAAGGCGTTTCCTTCGCCGGCACCCATGCCCGAGGTCGATATGGGAGAAGCGAGTCCGCCAAAGCAGAGCGTGGAAGTGTCCATGACGTCCGTGGAAGGTGGCAAGGACGGCAAGGGTGAGAACGAGAGCGAGGATGGCATTATCGCTCCAAATAGTATGCGGAAGGTTGCCATGGGGGGACTGCGGAGGATCTTCAAGAAGCGGATGCAAGAACCGCTTCCTGTCTCCAAGATATCCGAGGACCCGGCGGAGGGTGATGCCTGGTCAGAGAGCGAGGACGAGGACCACAATCAGCAACTGTTTCGTACGCCAAGGCGAGCGCGGACATCTAATCACTACACGCTCAATATGCCTGCGCCTGCGCCCCCACCATCCGATGTTCCATACATCCTGCTCGGGTACGTGTCACCATCTGTCTTGCCGCTGCGGGAAGCGTGTTCGATCAAGGGCACACAGATATCTGCAGTTTTTCTTCAATCTATCGTTGATACTGCTATTTCTGTATCTGGCTGTGCAGTTCATTTGGACTGTGCAACGAGATGTCGAAGAAAGAATATCGGAGTATTCTCTAGGTAAGCATATTGATGGTGTGGCGTAACAGCGCTGATGTTCTCTCCTTCCAGATTTGGTGCAGGACATCGCCATGTGCGCTTTACAGCATAGGAACAACTTTTGCGACAACCCTATCCCGGCCGTTGCCGATCAGTGTGCAGCCTGGGCAACATGCATGTCACGCGATCCCACCATTGTGGGAAGGGCCAGAGTCGGAGCTGAGATGATCGCGGAGGTCGTGAACGGGTTCGTGGAACCAATCAGCTGGAAAACATTGGCGAGTGATATCGATTCTATGTTTGCCGTGGAGTTCTCACGTATGACGAAACCTTTTTCTGTGCTTCTTCCTTGACTTCCCTTTCGGATCGCTCTCTCTCACGACGTCTTCGGTCGGTAATTGCGTGTATTTCCGCTGACGTTCTGGGTTGTCCCAATCTGACTTGCGATACGGCCCTGGACTTCGGCTTCGGCTACTTCTCGCCCACACGAATGATTGTGGTGCTTCTGATTCTTGCCTCGGATGCATTCTCTTCGCGACTTCCCTCGGATATGCCAACAGGCATTCACACTCAGCTCGCTTTCGTTCCTCACGGTCTTCGTGAACGCCCTGCTGTCGCTCTATCGCTCGCGGCACGTCCCGCATCCGGTTGTGAGTGCACCACATCCTGCGCCGGCCTACCCGCATCCTGCGCAGCACTTTGGGGGGTTCTTGTCCCCAGCGCCGACGCCGAGCTGGGGCCGCCGCCGCGAACAGGGGGTTCGATGGGCGCCGGAAGAGGAAGTGGAGGCAACGCCGACCAGACGGAGACGGATCGAGGGCGGGGCACTCAAAATTCGATAATGGCCGCTATGAGACGGTCTAGAACATGGATTGCTCTGGCTATATACATAAGCTATGGCTCTCATTACCTACAGGAACCTACGGAAATGGCAGTTATTCACAGCACGGCAGCTTCCGCATTGAACGCCACATCCTTCTGCGAAGGACCCGGAACGTGGATGAGCTATAGTAAAGCTCAGCATCGCTGGTTCGTTTCTACGCGGGCTGTGATCGCAAGCCAAACGTGCGGGCTGGGCCGTCCATCGATCTCTGTCTTGACTCATCTCGCAATTTCCGTTCAGGGTTCAGGGCATCGTCGGCGACCTGCCATGCCAGTCCATTTTAAGATCCAGCTGAGGCCGCTTTCAACTTGGCTCAAGATGCCTTTATGACATCCCCCTCGTTTGAGGATCATGAACTGGCTTTCAACCTCCATATGGTAGGCTGTTTGACGCCGCTGCCTGCCAGAATGGACTGCCTTATTGTTAGATGGAAGGTTGCGTGACACGATCCTTGCCCGCTGTTACGGGACCAAGTGCGGGGAAATTCCGCCCGGCCTCGTGGGAAGACGGGAAATCTGCCATTTCCGGTGCCGCGGCTGTCACAGGGCTGTGCATCGTTCCATGATCCGACACGAATCGATAACGGACACGCGATGCGCGGATTCAGGCTCAGATTAAAACTCCGCCATCGCGCCCGCCCGCATCGTACTCCTTCTCTTCCTGCTTGGGTTTCTGGTGTGAACAGGACCGTCGGATGACCCGTGCGTGCTCGATTCGGGTGCTGTCCGAGATTGGCCCTGATTCATCGGCTTGACTGCGCAGGAGGGAACCAGCGAGATCAAGACCGCGCGAAGGCGCAAAAGAAGGCAGCTGCGAGCAAGACTAAGCCAAAAGAAAGCAGCAGTTCTCTGGCCAAGCGCAAGGAGGCGTAGGGTTCTTTTTCCCGCGGATTGAGCTATTTTCACTCAAGTCCGTGCAGAGACGCTGACGCCCTGAGGGCTAAGCAGAAGGTAGGCACTCTCTCGTGCGATCGTCTCACATCGATCCCTGACTCGATCAGAAAAAAGAGGAGGAGAAAGCAGCAGGAGGGGCGGCAGGAGGAGGGAAATAACGTCTGTGTTGAGTGCCAGGATACCTACGTGTCACTTGCCTCTTTCAATTCCATTCTTTTTTGCTCCGAAGAACATCCATCCAAGAGTTCCCCGTCCGGCTCGCCGTCTTACTCCGTTTTACCACGGCCATGTGTGTGCGTAATGATTATCAACGTCTCGTTATACCCGAAGTCATTTACAATTCAGGTGGGGCAAATTGAGTAGCCGGTCGGACGACGGAAGATGATCAGATGAATGGATGCAACCGACGACCGTAGCTCGAGTGCTTCCGACCGGAGACGTTGTCCAAGGATCCGAGAAGAGATGGATGGATGTCCATGGAGGGACATGTGGAAATAGCCGATGTCTCAGCGCGTCTGGGATCCTGGCAACCACATGCACAGAACATACTTGGACTGCATATGCGGGAGAACACGGTGGCTGCGTGCCAAGTTACGTTGAAGGGAGCGAGGGTAACGAGATTGGTTAGTTCTGATGGATGAAACTAGGCCGATGATGGGAATGGTGCACCCTGCGGTCCCTGATATACCTTATTTCCTGAAGCGCATCTTGCAACTGGCGGGAGATTATTGATCCCCGGAATTGCCTGACAGCGTGCTCAGGGGTGCGTTTTCGTGAGAGGGGGGTCGTGTGGGGGGAGGGGGGTCTGGAGGACGGCTGACCGCTCGAAGGGAGTCGAAGGCATGTTCACCAGACGCATATCTCCGCAAAGCTTGCTTTGTAGAAATCAAGAACACACGTTGTATCACAGGGAACGACAAACGACGTGTCCGTTTGTTCTGTTTATGAAACAAAAGTTCCGAGGGGTGTCAAGCTGTATCATAACAGTTGACAAGAATCAGGTGGGCGCATGGGGCTACGTGCGGTGGCTGTGCCAGGCTGGCAGGTGCTGTGGAAACAAGATTACGTAATTGGGAAGATGGAATCGAAGACGAGAAGCCCGCTAGCCGCGGGTGCCGGTTGACAGCGACAGTTGATGGATGACGCCAGCGCACAGCCTCTGATGGCAGCTTGTTTGTCCTTAAACAGCAAAGCGGCATTCTTAGCTTCCTGTAACAGCACAGAAGACATAAATAGTTTTCTCGGGCGTGAGAAATAGTTGCCGGAAGAGGGGACTGAGAAACACAAGTCTGAATTGCGTCCGAACGGGTCACACGCGAATAGTCGGATTTGAAATGTGCATGGCGATTGATAGGGCAAGAAGAGTGATTTGCCCCCTCCAGATCCGGCTCCCGATCTTATTACGGACGGAAGCGGATCGGGCGGTAGATCTCAATCCCAGCCGCAACGTGCCTGCCAGCCTATGCGGGATCAAAAAAGAAGCATGCTGTTCCAGATCTGGGGGCAGTCGGAATCGGAAGTGGATTGAAGGAAGATTAGACAGCTGGCTGCAGTATAAAGCGCCGCCGAGACCTTGATCGTGCGACTTCTTTCCTTTTCCGCTGTTTCGAATTGTTGCTACTCACGCACGCACTTGACCGCCAGCAATGTCCACTCGGCATAGGGAATCACACAGGGATTCGCATAGGGAGCCGCGCGAGCCCGCTCACCACCACCTCTCCTCCCATCCCTCCCACAACTCACACCCCCCTCCCCTACCCCACTCCTCACACTCCCAGTCCCATGTTCCCCACCACCCGCACCCCAACGGCTCGTCTTCTTCCCACATCTCAGCCATTGTGTCGCCCATCCAGGGCGGCCCTCCGCCCCCTCTGACGAATGGGAGCGCCAATGGCGTCTCCAACGGAGTTTCTGCTACTGCAGGCCCCGGCCCATCGTCCGCGATACACAAGCTCGCGGCAGCAAACGAGCAGACGTGGTTGTTGATTGGTGAGCTGTTAATACTACCGCAGCCGGTTCCTGGCTCACCCTCGCATGGATAGGTCGGGTAGCCGAACAGATGAACGATTTGGATCATGCATTGTCGGCGTACGAAAATGCGCTGCGACACAACCCCTTGAGTCTCGCTGGGTTGACGCAAGTAGCGGGCATCGCGCGGAGTAAGGAGAACTACCCTAAGGTGTGTCTTCATGTCTCCCTCTAACTGCTTGATCTTGAATGCCATCTTTGCAGGCGATCGACTACTTCCAGCGTGTACTGCAGTTGCAGGAAGACAACGGGGAGGTTTGGAGTGCCTTGGGTGTGTGTTTAGCCTGGTCTTTACTGCTCTGGGACACTCACATTAGTCTCAGGACATTGTTACCTCATGCAAGACGACCTTCCGAAAGCATACTCGGCATACCAGCAGGCCCTATATCTGCTTCCGAATCCCAAGGTCCGTTGCTCGTCAGAGGATGCTTGCTCGGTTATGCTCATGATGCACTTAGGAGGACCCGAAGCTGTGGTACGGCATCGGCATCCTGTATGACCGGTATGGCTCGCTGGATCATGCCGAGGAGGCGTTCTCGTCGGTCCTGCGCATGGACAAAGGTGTGTCCTATTTCTTCTAACGATACTCACGCAAACAATCCTCAATTAAACTAGACTTAGACTTTGACAAGGCGAACGAGATACTGTTCCGTCTGGGAATTATCTACAAGCAGCAGAGCAAGTTCGACGATTCCTTGCAGTGTTTCGACCGGATTCTGCGGAATCCGCCGAGTCCGCTGGCGCATGCGGATATTTGGTTCCAGATTGGTCATGTGTATGAACAACAGAAAGACGTGCGTCAATGTCTCTATTGGGCCGATCAAAGCCTAACACGGTGAAATGAACAGCACGCGAGCGCAAGAGATGCTTATGAACGGGTTGTTACTGACAATCCGACACACGCCAAAGTTCTGCAGCAGCTGGGATGGCTGTATCACCAAGACGGATCCACGTTCCAGAACCAGGACTTGGCAATACAGTACCTGACGAAGAGTTTGGAGGCCGGTGAGTGATAGTGATTGACTCGCTTCAATGGCATTGAGAACAGCGTAGATCCTTCCGATGCGCAATCTTGGTACCTGCTTGGCCGGGCCTACATGGCTGGCCAAAAGTATAACAAAGCCTATGAGGCGTACCAGCAAGCCGTATACCGAGATGGGCGCAACCCAACATTCTGGTGTTCCATCGGCGTGCTATACTTCCAGATCAATCAGTACCGCGACGCCTTGGACGCTTATTCTCGTGCGATCAGGATCAATCCGTATATCTCGGAGGTGTGGTTTGACTTGGGATCGTTGTATGAGAGCTGTAACAACCAAATCTCGGACGCGATCGATGCGTATGCGCGGGCGAGCGAGCTGGATCCGGGCAACAAGGTGATCGAAGGCCGGCTGGCATTGCTGAAGACTGCACAAGCGAACGGTGGCGCGAGCAGTCTCGGTGCGGCGCCTGGGCCACAGGATGTACATCCGACGGCCTACGCGAGTGCGGTTGTTCCCCCGACGACCCTGAATCTCAATCTTCCGCTCGGGCGACCATCGGGCATCAACAACGAGATCTCGCTTCCACCGCCGACACAGCGCGGCGGGTCGCCTACCGCCGGGCCGTTCCGAGGCGGGCCTCCTCCACCCCTGATTCTGGATGACAGTCGCCATCAGCCTGTGCCGGGCCAGACGGTACTGGCGCCTATGGATGTTGACCGCCCTGTCGATCGACGGGAGAGGGGTTTGGGGCATCAGAGTCTGCTGTTGCACCATCCTGTTCCGGCTGCAGCCGAGGAGCGGCATTTCGCTCGCCACCGCGCGGTCTCTGCCTCAATGTCGCCCCCTCCCCATCCAGCACTCCTTTCTTCTCGGCGTGCTACTTCACCTGGTTTCCCCAGGGAACCACGCGAGAGGGAGCCGCGCGAGAGAGAGCCGCGCGAGCGCCGGCCATCACCGCGCGCCGAAGATTGGGAGAGGCGCGGAGAGGATAGACGCGGCGATTGGGAGCGCGAGAGAAGGTACCGAGAGCCGTATGCTGTACGGGAGAACCCGGCCAGTCCCCGCTATGCCGTGAAGCAGCGGTACGACCCGCGCTGGGACGCTCAGCCACCGCCACCCTCGTCCTCGGCATCGTCGGCGACGACGACAGCGACGACGACGACGCCCACGCCGACCAACAGCACGTTCTACGACGATGACAAGAGGAGGCGAGGCATGAAGGAGGAGCCGTTGCCTGCTGTTGTTCCTCCACCAGAACCGAAGCGGAAGCGCAGCAGCCACATACAGACGCAGCACAAAAACATCCCCACTCACAGCCCAGCCGGCTCATCATCTGGGCGCTCGTCTGTTGGCGGACCTCCAAGACGAGTCGTCGACGACGACTACGACGAACCGGGCGTTGCCGATGCGTTGATGGGTCTGGCTAATCTGAAGCGTCCGCTGAGCCCAGCGCCTGCTGACGATGTGAGCAAGCGCAGCCGCATCGAGTCCACTTCCTCGTCGTCCTCGTCCGCGTCCCAGCACAGACAGACGCCCGTTCCGTCTACTCGTCCGTCGCCCATCCCGTTCCGCACGCAGGGCATGTCTGTGTCGCGATCTCCGCCAGAAAACACCCAAAACCACGCACCGGCGAGCCCGCCGCTTCCAGCTGTGTTCCCGCCGCACCCGAGGCCTGTGGGCAACAACGGGATGGGATTGAACCTTCCGCCTATCACAACTCTCAGTCCAGAGCCCACCGGTGACGAGAAGATGCAGGTCGATTCGAGGAGTGTCAGTCCGCCGACTACCACCACGGCTGCGATGCAGGACTAGTGTGATTTTTTTGGACTGTGTGTCGTATATTATTCCAGTACTTACTTACGACTCGATACGATTGCCACGCAAAGCCCACAGTGTACAATATATTCATAGTGTTTTTATCACATGACGAGACAAGGTCACTGTGACACAACGCGTGTGGAAAGCCTCTTGCGCCTTGTGCTCGTTCTATCACTGACTGCTCCCACGATCGTTCTCTCTTTTTCTGCGATTTCAGCCCGCTCAGTTGTACATATACCCGACCCTGCATCGACTCAAGTAAACAACGCACCCGTCCCCGCCCTGGACGACCCATTCCATTCCACGCCTCTCCCACTCGCGTCACGACATCCTTCCGGTTTTGTTATACCCAAAATCCAGATCAGTATGACCACGTCCGCTGTCTCGACGCCGAAGCGCTCCGTGTCGGGCTCCGCATCCCATTCAGTCGTGGGTAAAGGCACGCCCCGCTCCGTTTCCGCGCAGAGGACGCCCCGGCGGGTCACCAGTGCGCCGCTGCCTGCACACACCACGCCGCCGTCCTTCGCGCTTCAAGAGGCACTCGAGGAGGGGGACGAACGGGACGCGTTTGGTTCGAACGGCGCTGCGCTCGTGATGACAGGCGGCACGAGTGATGTGTTTTGGGACGACGATGGGCGGACGAGCGTCGGTGGCGAGGAGGGCGAGGTCGACGAGGAGGCGAGTTTATTTGATTGAATCTGTCCTGTTTCCGTTTCCGCTCCGGAGTGAAGTGAAGGATAGGGCGCGGTTTTTGCAACCCCCATATCGTCCGTCCACTGGGCTCGGAAATCTGCCAACCTTATCGACTCTGCTTGGCTCTTATGTACTTGTTCTAACTTTAATCCTAGTTCGACGAAGCGCTCGCGGGCCTTCGCACCCTTCACACCCGTAAATGCATGCACTTCAAAAGACTGCTCGAGCGCGCGCACGCGTCATCCGCGGCGCAGCTACACGCCCTGCAGGCCGAGATCCAGATGCTTCGCGCACGGCCTGTAGGAACCGCTACCGACACGGGCGATGGGGCGATGGAGTGCATATGCAGACGCAAGGGGGGGTACTGGGATGGCTACCTCCCGCCTGACGTGGACCGGCTCGACTCGTCGCTCTCTTCGGACCCCTCCATCAGCGCGCTCCAGTCGCAGATCCACAGGATGTCCCGCGCGTCGCGCTCGCGGCTGATGCGGACCCTCCTGGACGTGTCCCTCCCCGGCGACATCCCGCTGCAGATCCTCATGCTGCAGAAGTACCAGACGAAGGCGCGCGATATCGTCGGCGCGCTCGCCCCGCCGCTCGCCCTGCGCGTGCTACTGCACGTGCCCGTGCCGCACCTCCTGCGTGTGTGCGCCGTGGTGAACCGCCGCTGGGCGAACCTGACGCGCCTGCCGGCACTGTGGCGCGCGCACTGCCTTGCGATCACGCGCGGCGATCCAGCGCCGCCGACGCCTCCCGCGGATCCAAGCGGGTGGCTGCCGCTGTACCGGGCCCTGGCGCGGCGGGAGGGCAACTGGCGCTCAGGTACACCGCAGGGGATGAAGTTCTTGAACGGTCATACGACGTTCGTGACGGTGTTGATACTCCGGGGGACGCGGCTGATTAGTGGGAGCTACGACGGGACCATCCGGTTCTGGGATCTGGCGAAAAGTAAGGGGGAGATGGTGCGGTGCCTGGAGGTCGGGAAGCCCGTCAGCTGTGTGGATTATCTCGCTGGGGAGGAGGTATTTGTTGTTGGATTCCACGACGTTGGGTGTGTTATTCCGGCTTTCGATTTCAGAGATCGCACTGACCAAGAGCGGTAGGCGCGTGCACTTATTTTCTGCGATTACGTACACGCCTCTACAGCAGCTCGCAGGCCATCTTAATGGCATTCGTGCGGTGGCCATGAGCTCGAAGAACTTGGTTAGTGCCGGAGCCGACAAGGTGTGTGTTCCCGTGCGCGAATATAACGACGCTAACTGACGCGATTATCAATTTAGGCACTGGTGTGTTGGGACTGGCGAGCAGGGAGCAAGATTGTGCGGTTTGGACAACAAACGACGATCAATGTGGGTGTACAGATCGTTCAAGGTGCTGCGTTTATTTTTCCCTGGCTATTTTTGGCGCTTATGACCGACAGGCGCCGATCGCTCCGAGGGCGAACGAGTGGTGAGCGTTACGATCGATGGGGTAGTACGCGTGTTCTCCATACGTGGGTCTCGTTACCGTGAACTTGCGCATGGACTTGACCAGAGTCTAGATCGCCGGGAGATGATCTCCCAATTCCGACTTGCAGAGCTTGGCGGCGGAGATCCGGTGCTCATGTCGAAGCTTTTCCATGTTGGCAGGGCACCGGACAACATGTTGCAGTGGTTTGCTGCCAAGGGGAGCAAGATGACTGTGAGTACCCCAGATATATTGCATCTCGATCCAAAGCTAATGTCATAGTGCGCCACTAAATCGGTGATTCTCCATCTCCAGTGGCAGGAAGGCGAGGGTGAAGATGTTCCCGAATCTGCTCCTCCGGCTCAGAGCATCGAGAAGGAAGCCGAGAAGCCTCCCATGGCAAGAAGCCGGACCATTTCAGCGCGCAGCAGCGTTTCGGGGAAATCACCCAAGGGACAGTCTCCACGGCCGATCAATTCGATCGCCTCTCCGACTACGAAGCGGCCGTCGCTGTTACCTCAAACCCCGAGTCAACGCAAGCGACTGAGCACGCTGGCCAGTCCGGGCGCAGGCGACTTCTCGATCAACGAGCTGTCGACCGGGAGCGTGCGATCGTCGTCCATGTCTACCTCAGTCTCGGGTCGAGGCCCGCGGGCGACGCCAACGCCGTCAGCAGCGCGGCCGGGTGTACCTCAGCGGCGAGGTTCGCTGATCCCGCCACCTGCGGAGAGAAGGCTAAGTGCGAGTGTGAGCACGATGAGCACCGGCGGCCGATCCAGCACAGGCGGTGTGCCTAAGCTGAGCCTCAGTATGACCGCGGCTACGAAGAACGGCGCCAACCGGCTTAGTCTGGCCGCGACGCCCACGTCCGCCACCGGGAGCGGAATCTCGACGCGGACGGGGACGCCGGTTTCTGCCTCGGGCCGGTCTGTGTCGTCTGCGACTACGAACACGCCGACTGCGCTCGACCCGGTGTTCTTCCCTGTGCGATTTGGGCGTGCTGCGATCTTGACTGCGCCGCCAAAGATCGTGGGGATCGTCGAGACGCCGACGGATGTTGCCGTCGGTGCAGTGGATCCGCGGAAGCGGAGAGTCGTCACTGCGACGCGGTTCAGCTCGCGAGTCGGTGCTGTTCGCAAGGTTTGTGTCTCATATGTTATTATAGTTGTTTGCGGGCGGCGGACTAACGCTTACGTGTGCAGATCTTTGTGACGACGCATGAGGAGACGAAGGAACCCACGACGGAGGTGGAGATCGATCTGGCTGCGACGCCCTTGAGCGGGATCTGGGGCGCGCTGGCTGTGCCGCCGTATTCTGACTCGCGGGGGCTAAAGGGACAACTGCCCAATAAGTTTGCGGGCATGGCCACGCCGGAGAAGAATCCCATGGCGATGGCGATGTCGCATGAGGAGGTCGTCGTTGGCTGCGCGGACGGGTGCATCTAGTACGTGTTTTTCTGCGTGTGGGTAAAATGTTATGTTGTGCGGGTGCTGAGCCTCTGTTGTTGCAGTGTGATGAATTTCTCGGGGTACGATTATGACAAGGACGAGGTGCTCGAGGACGGGGCTCCGGGAACCCCGCAGCCGGTGTTGGAGGGGAATCCCGATGCGGGGTTCGACGAGGATATACTGGCTGGGAGGGTGCAATGAACATGTATTTAGCTCGGATATCGTATCGTATCGTATATTTAGTAAACATGAACTTGGCGTTGGCGCGCTCTTTCTTTCTCTCGTGGTATTCATGATTGATCTCTGGGTAATGTTGACTCGTCTGTCATGTAGAATCCTTACGACGAAATGGCCTGTTGGCTCAGACAACCTATATATTGAGCAAGATCCTTCTCCCCCGCAGACTTGTACTCCAGGTAGAATGCTATTTCATCAAAGATAGTAGATATTTCAGTAGAGTACATGTAGGTACAGAAAAACAATGACGTACACTCAAAGGAGAATGCACTTCGAAACCCATTAGATATTCCAGCAGAGTACATGTAGCTACAGAAAAACAACGAGAGCTGTGCTCGGGTCCATTGAATCTATTCGGGCACTGTGTACATTCCCAATATGTCTTGGAAGTTATCCGCTGTGCTTTCGTCCGATTCGCTCGCGGGGGGAGGAATCCACAACGCGTTATGCCCAGCAGGCGAGGCGACGAATGATTTTAGGCGTCGAATGGGGCTGGGGAAGGGAATCGCCTCCGGGGGTAAGGTTGAAGATGATCGTATAGCAGATCTGTGCGGGGGAGCGGCGGAGATGCGCGGAGGAAAAGTCGTTTTCTCCAAGCCAGCTTCCTGCATCAATCTGTCCAGGATCCCGGACTGGGCGGGAAGGCTAGACAATGCACTCTCCAGAACGCGAAGATGGTGTGTATAGAGTGCCGCCCAATGCATTTCCTTGGTTGTGCGAATGCAGAAGAAGCACAGTTGTTTCAACGTAGACTTCCTTTCTGCCGGTAGGTTGCGCAGAGGTTCCGGTAAGCTCTGGAACGCCTGTAGAACCCAGCTTGCGACGAGGTGGGAATATACGGTCGAGTCCGTACAGAACTCGGGTTGGACTGCAATGCTGAGCACTTGCCCTGGTGTCTTGGCCCTCATCAGCAGCGAGGCCAAAATGACGACTTCATCAGGATCACGCAGAGAGAAGATGAAGCGCAGAACGTTACTCGTGTCGATATGATCCGGCACAAAGAGGTTTACCTCGTCAGCAGTCCAGGCACTCTCCGGCTGCACATGACGTAGGTGATCGAACAAAACACCACGGAGCAGGTAGTCCACCTCTGGACTACGGATGCGCGGATTCGCGCCGATTAGACATGGGACCGGGGGGTGGTGAGGATGATAATTGCGGCAGATGACTGCTATCGCCTTGAGATAAATCGAAAACCAAAGGTTCTTCTTCGGCAACGTCCGCAACGAGCGACGAGCCGCCTCTGTCAGAGGCTCCATAAGCGTCATTTGTGGCGGAAAATCGGAGTACGGCAGCTCCTCAGAAAATTGGCCGAAAAGAGACCAGTTTTCGATGATGACATGAGCGGCTGTCGAGTTGCATCGGAGGCTCGCCTCAGGGAGAAGCAAATGTGCAAGAGTCTTCACTTCTGTCTCCCACACCTGAAGACCCGGGAACAAAAGACCGGTTTTGACTTCGTAATGTCCAATATGGCTCGATACACAGCTCGCTGCCTTGTCCAGCGCCTGATCGTCATAGATAGTCTGCACCGTTTCGTGGTAGACCTGCTTGATAACCTGAGCAGCATGATCTCCCTCGCCGATGACAGGTTGTTCAGGCGGAAAGACCATATGCCAAGCTGTGGTCAATTGTGACTGGAAAGGCCACTCGGAAGGTCGAAGGCCCGGATGCAATATTGTCTTGGCAAAGAACGCCAATACTGCGGTGACACAGGATAGAGAGATAGCGACTGCAGCAAATAGCGGGATTGGCGCAATATGTAGCGCAGTGCCAGCCGCCACGACAGTGTCGATTAACCCCAGCACGAACAAAACGACTGGGAACACGAGAAACAAGGGTAGCATGTCAACTGCCGGGCCCAGCACAATGTCGGCGGCTTTCCATCGGTTCTGGATCTCGATGAGCTTTTCGGTGGTCTGCTTGCGACGAGAGAGGGTGACTTGATTGAGGATACCACGGCAAGCCACAGCCAGCGCAGCCAGTGACAACTAGCAATGGCGTCAGAACCAGTGCAAAGCCAGCAGTATATTCTCACGCTCAGAACTAGTGATATGGTCCAGTACGAATTGACTCTAATGTTGACCTCGTCGGGAGTGAAGAGAGTAGCACTGGGGAAAATCAGAGAGGAGGCTTGAGTCCCGGAGTTCAACTGGATGATGATGTTGGTGAGATTGGCTAATAGCTCGTTCGTCCGTGCTGTATCGCTTTGTTGAAGACTGGGCAGAGACCCCACAAGAAAGGTGGTGACAACGGCAGAAAACAAACCGATCTGGCAGATACTCAGAGCCTAGGACAGGCGATTCCAAAGATGCGGCGACGCACGAATACCAGCAGAGCATCGATCCCGCTGCGCCATCGATCCACTTGCGGTTGAATCGTATCACCGATGGCTGTACGTAGCATCGCTCCCCATGTGCTATTGCTCGTAGCCGACACCTGCGGAATGGGCTGGGACGACGGGTCTATGATGATGGCGCGTAAGCTAGGCGTCGTCACGATGAACGGGCGACAGAGCTCGCCTGTGTCGCCGGCCTGTCGAGCCTCGAAGCGCCTCAATATACTCGTCTGTTCTTCCAAGGCACGCAGACTGATGGATCCAGTCAGCTTCATCATACCAGCAGAACTTGCACCTACAGAGTCCTCTCCCACTGGGATCCCGTTATATCGCCGCTCATGTCTGCCTGTGTCTCGCAGAAAGTGTAGACTGTCGTGCTTGATAGGTGATGCCATGGGAAGATGATGCTCGATGGCGCCAAGAATAACACGGCGGTTACAGCTGATGCGAGAAAGTACGCCGTACATTGCGCTGCGGTCGCGTCAAGAAAATACAATCGTCAGTCGTTGCCGTGGTCTGAGCGTTGTCTACTGTTGTGAGCAAACGTGATCGTCGCCATTGAACACTGCATGACGCCATGATTGCTTGCTCGACTTCGATAAATTTTGGGATGGATATAAGGGCCCGATCGGGTGCACTGCTTGCATCAGGCAGATGCCAATCTGATCTGCCTGACGACCTCTCCGAGGCAGACCGAAGCTGATCGGAGCCCTTCGGACATCCTCCCGACTGCCTGACGCGCTAGGTCACATATAGTCACATAAGTACATACTCGTCTTCGCACCTCCAGGTCCGCCAACCTTGTTGACGGCCTCAGCAACCATAGGCCACACGACGGGCTTCCATCCCGCGCCAGATCTATGAGTCTTGATGTGTTTTTTCAGGGTTTCGACGAGCGCTGCATCACAGGTAGGGCCCCACACACACTTGTCCGCAACGAGGCCCTCCTCCGCTCTGCGCTTTCCGGACTTTCGTTTGGGAGGCGCGTTGTTGGATGGTGGAGGTGGGGGAGGGACGGGAGTCTCAACAGGAGGCGCGGTTGTCGTGTCCGTCATAGAGCGTGAAAACGTCTCAATTAGGAGCGTGACATCAGACTACATCTAGGCGTTTCTACCGAGCACCTATTCTAATCTGCCTGACGGCAGGCAAATGCCTGATCTGCTCGGATCAGGCATTTGCCTGAAATTTGGCTCATCTGCCTGATGCAGGCAGTGCACCCGATCGGGCCCTAAATATCCAAATATATGCGTCACACTCTGTATCGCCACTCACCAGTTAAGTCTGTTGCTGTCCCCTCACAAATGCGAAATATGACTCATTCAAGACCCACTGAAAGCTCATACAGCACATAACTTAGAACAAAATCCTCAGAAATAGCTAGCATGGCCCGGTAACAAGCCCTCCGTCTTACATATCGCCTGGTAGACATTGCGCGCGCTGACGACACAGCCCTCCAGCAAGGGAATCCCTGCATGCGCATACGACCCGCAGATCCAGATACCCGCGCTGGCGCCCGATGCCATCCTCCCGGCGCCCTGCAGATCCCCAACGGCGTACTCGGCTTCGGCAGACGACTGCCACCACTTCCTGCGCGTCTGCACGCACAGGCGGCGGAGAGCCGCTTTCGACGCGGGCGTGAGCACCGCGCGCTCGAGCGTCGCGACGCTCAGGATCCGGTCATCGAGGATATCGACGAACGGGTTCGTCGTCTGGAACACGGGTCGGTCGTAGCCGAACCCGGGAGGAGGCTCCAGGACATGCGTGGTCATGGCGTGGGTCGGGGCGACCCGGTGAGGCGACCACGCGTTGAGCGCATCGCGGGTCGGCTGGGCGGCGGCGACTAGATTGAGATCTCGGCGGTCCCGCCTGTCGGAGGGCAGCAGGGTGTTCGAGTCGTCGGTGTGGTTGACGACCACTGTCCGCACGTAGTGGAAGCTCTCCAGGCATTGGATCTGGGCCATCACAGCGTGCTTGGCCGCGGACTCGGCCGGGAGATCCGCTGCGTATGTCGCCAATAAGGGCACGGCGCGGCTGGCTTGGGTCGCAAACACCACATGGTGGAATCCGCGTGCAATTTTCGTGCCCGACCCGGTCGAGTACTCGATCGCCACGAGGCGTCGATCACTGGAGTCCGACTCCAAGCCAACGATTCGCGCCGAAAGATGGATATTTTTGATGTTGGTAGTCAGATGTCGGACTGCATCTCTAACACCCTTAGTCACAACGTAATGGTGCGTGCCGAGTGTAAGCCAAATGTAATCTAAGCACTCTTTGATCAGCTCCGTCAAGGTTGGACTAGACGTGCAACAGCCTACCAAGAAACTCTTCGACTGGATGAGCGTTGATAGATTCTTCCGGAGCGGTACAAACAGCAGAGAAGAGTGGAATGAGAACGTCCTCCGTGAACGATCTCCACACACAGTCAAATCGCAGTACACGGGCAACCAAACTGCGAGGAGTCGTGTCCTCAACCCATTCGCGGAAGGTGTATTCGTTGTGTCGCGTCGATCTCAGTGCAGGAACGGCAAACAGCAGCAGTCGCACGTAGCACACGAGGAACTGTAGTGTCGAGAAGATAAACAAGACGAACACGAAAGCGCGCGTGAGCAGCGCGTATCGTGGCCTGCGAAGGTGCAAGTCCTTCATCCAGGCAGGTATCCCCAGGCCCTTCCGGCCTGACGTGCCATTGTATATTAGAGTCGTCTGCAACGGTGTCTTGTCTGCGAGCCGGGAGTACGAAGAGAACGAGTAGGAAAAGTCTCTCTGCCGGAAGGGGATCCCGAGTTTTTCATACAGAGCAATAAGGCGCGGGTAGTATCCGCCCTGGAAAGACCGCATCGGCACGTCGACCCTCCATTCCTGCTTCCCAAAGTTCCTTATGGACACAGACGCGGAGTCCATCCCGAGCATAGCAGCCTGAGAGCTGTGAAACTCTGAAATCATGAGTACGTACGCAGCACACACGCACCTTCTCGAACAGATGCACCTCGAAGTCCACCTCCCGATCCGAGTGCGTCTGGGAGGCAAGCAGATGAGCAGCGGTCAGGCCGGCCAGGCCACTCCCGATGACGGCCACTTTGACTGTCCGCGGCATAGTCGATTGCGCGCAGCCAGAGCCTCGCAGTGAGCGCGAGAGTGAGAGAAAACGAAAGGTTACGAAGTGTTTATAAATTGATTGTGGATTTCCTCCTATATGGTACCATATGTTGATGTATCCGGTGTCTCTAATCACCGAACACCGCTTTTGACATGATGGTTGCAACAGTGGATGGGAAGAATGAGGAATCGTCAGTGGTTGCAGCGGGGGTGAAAGGGATTTAATCGGATTACTACCAATTCAATGCACTGACCAACTCGGATCGATCATTCATTTCACGATGTGACGTCTTGCACGCTTTTCTTAGCCGTTTTGAATACAACGCCCTATCATCGAAATATACATTTCGCGATGCGGCGTCTCACACGCACTTCTTGGCCTCTTTGAGAACCTCCAGCATCGTCCCTAGTGCCAGCAAGCCAAAGCTGGATGGCCCGAACGCACTGGGGTCTTCGTCGAGCGCTTCCTCCGCAACTAGCCACGCTGCCCACGAGCGTTCGAACCGGTCTCTCCGCCTCTCCTCGTCGACGGCCAGCGTGGCCCACTCGTCCCACTCGTCGTCCTCGTCCTCGTCATCGCCTTCGTCGTCGTCGTCGGCTTTGTGATACTTGGCAGACTGGAATTCGTGTCGGATCGCGCTCGTCAATTCTTGAGTCTAGACATAATCTTCAGGAGAGGATGCTTTTGAGACTCGTCTCTAGCTGATCACTTGCCTGCAGATTCATCGCCGCAATGACATCGCGCCGCTTCCGATGGTCCTTGTACCTCTCCTGGATGGTGCCGCTGACCATCTCCGCCTCGGTGAGGTGCGCGTTGTCGCGTTTGGACACCGTGTGCGTCTTGGCGATCAGCAGAAGCTGCTCGCAATACTCGTCGAGATTCTCGCGCATCTCATCCATCAGCTCGTCGTCCGGAATCTGCTCGACGCCGATCAGGCCCAGCGCAGGCAGTCCGCAGCCGCTCAGCATTTCTTGAATGAGATCGCCGTCGGTCCACTGCTCGCGCAGCATGGCCACATCCGGGCGCGCTTCCTCCAGAGGGACATTGCGGTACAGTTCTCCGAGTACCTTCAGACTGACGTAGTAGCGCTCACCCATTGCCTGCGCAGGATTGACGCCTTCGCCCGAAAGGAAGTCGGGATGCATCCGGTTCGGCGCAGCAGGCAGGTCTTTGAAATTGACAGGTTGCTGGGATGACGAATGAAATCGAGGATCCATGGCTCACAGTCATGAACTCACCCCCCGCTTCTGGAAATCGACCGCATACGAGGCATATTCGGCGAGCTTCAGACACTTTTCGGAGCCTGCACCTTCCAAATCTGCGATCCGGAGGTGCAGAGTCGCGATCATCCCCACTAAGTCTGACTTGATCTGCTTTGCATCAGTAAAGAGCGGGCAAATGTGGGCCTTGAAACCCACGTAATCGATGACGAAGTCGACAACATCAGCGACAGTGCATGGATGCGGGGTTTCTCTTGTAGGAGGAGCCTCGTATTCACCGGGTACAGCTGTGAGTTCTTTGGGCGGATAAAGGGTTTCCTGTGCAAGATGAATGCGACCCGAGTGCACAGGGTGCCGGCTGACACCCACATCAAGGATAAGATTATAGATATCCCCGTCCAAATCACCTCCACCCAGCATGGAAGGTAGACTTCGTTGACCCCTGATTTCGCCTTTTCGATACTCGCAATAGTAAAGCTCGAACACACACACTTACTTGGACGAGAACACAACGACGTTGGTCAAATGGGACAGCTCTTGTCTCCGCACAGCTTGCACAAACTGGATGTCCCCGGGATGGATCTGAGGGCTCCACGTGATCACGATTCGCCCCGTGATGGCCTGGTTCAGACCCGTGCGGTGGTCGACCACAGTCGCATAGACCTCGCCTTCCTCCAGACAGTCCCATTCATCAGAGACGCCCATCAGCGTGTACGACCCAGGCACGAATATGCGCGCCCGGTGCTTGATCTCGCGCAGGACATGCATCGTCGCGAAAGCCAGGCAGGTTTTGACCAAGTCGTGCCGCAAGAACGACTCGTCTTGCCAGGGCCCGATTTCGAGATGCAGCTCACGGTGGAGGTTGTCAAACAGGGATGGCAGTCGATACGAGCTGCCCAGTCCGTGCTGTGAAAATATCTGCGACGCTTTCCTTAGTGAGTCCTTCATCGTCTGCACGTTTTCGATCGCAGCGTCCTGCAGAGCCATGAAGGACTGCCTCGGTGTCCCATGATGCTCGAGAAGAGTGATCAAAGGACGATTGAGATACATGGGGATCGGCCTAGCAGAGGTCGCAGCGACATCGAGAGTCCGGATCTGGGCCGCAGACACCTGGAACTTGGTTTGAGACGGCCGGAAGTTCAGAGTCTCTTCCGGCAGATTGGGATTGTGCACGATCACCCCTTTCGAGCCTCCACAGCGGAACTGGTAAGCCGACGGCGCCTGGGCCATATTGTGGGAGCGGCGCAGTCGCTTCCAGATGGCCTTGTTGAGCGTGGTCGAGTGAGACGAGCACCCGTCTGTGAAAAGAGAACCGGACAGCGACTGCTTATCATCGACGTTGACCATCTGCCACGGCCCCAGTTGGATAGTGGGGTCTGAAGATGAGAAGGCCTGACTCCATCTGTCACAAGGACTGTCAATATTGCAACATTTGGAGCGCAAATTGGCATACCGAGCTCCGAGCAGAGCTGGCTTGTAAGAAATGGTAGAGAAATCTCCCTATAACAAGGGTCAATGGGGACAGCAAACTCAATGAGAGTCGTACAAGCTGATCTCTGATTCCTTTAGCGTCCAAGCGAACACCCTCAAACATGAAAGGCGTCATAAAAATGAAGGAATACTCCTTCAAACCGCTCATGGAATATCCAAGAAACTGGTAGTCCCGCCCAGCGACAGTCATTCCTGAATTCAGGGGGCCCTTGTATCGCTTCTCGAGAAGCTCGTTGATCCACATGCTCGGATCCTGTCGAGGTGGAGACCGATTCTCGTCCTGGAATGAGACACGAAGAAAGCAGTCGTGGTTCTTGAACCTTCTGTAGTACGTGCAGAGTTCAGTTTCCCGCCTGGTATGTCGCAATCCAGGGCCTACCTAAGAACTGCATTTGACTGATCGGGCAGTGGGCCCTCGAGAATCTGCGTCGAGGGGGTCAGAATGACATGATATGACTTGTATATCCCAGCGGCGGGTGTGTACTTGAGGCGGGTGCGCCGATGGAGCTGATCCTTGTAGACATCGACCGCTTCCGCAAGCCGCTCGCGCAGATCAACTGGCTGTACATCTTCGAGCTGCTTTTTCCTGCTGCGCCGTCGATTCCTTTTCTTTCTCGGAGCGGAATCTAGGCCAGGTACCTCGAGCATCATGGCAAACTGATGGAAGATAGCTCCGGCTTCACCATCGCGCGTTGCTCGTTGCAGCTCTCTCAGACTGTCCGTCATCGAGAGAACCTCCTCCGGCTCCAGGATCCCACCCCATATTGCTTTGTCGATCTGGAATGCCAAATCGAAATCCAAAGTCTCAAGCAGCGCCTTCACCTCCGAAAGCTTCTCCTCCCTGTAGATACCGCGCTCCATTACCTGGATGTTCTTCTCTACAGGGCTCACGGGCATATTGAGGTGGTCACTCCGTCCTATGAACAGGTTGAAGTCGCGATGGTTCGAGAACGTCAGGCACAGTGCCTGCGATGTGTGCGATGTGGCAAGGAAGTCGGCCGTTGCCAGAGAAGAAACACGCTCGGGGCGCGTTGGCGGAGCACCCCAGACATCTGCATTCTCCTTAGCCTCCTCTGACTGCCACGGGGTGCGCAAGAATGTTGGAGGGATATCTGTTTGGAGGAATGCGCGGTGCAACGAGCTTACAGTCCCAAAGGCCACGATCCTGGGGGCTGCGAAACGCGCAGAAAAGGTGTCCCGGCTAGGTTGAGCCTCGAACTCGGACAGGAGAACTCGAGCAATCGATGCCACGAAACTTTCGAAGCCACTCGACGCGCTGGCCTGTATCCCATCCGGTGGGGCACTCTTGCAAAGTACTTCGATACTGCGCGTTTCCAAGTTGCAGGCCACCGAGCCGTGATACACGACTTCAGGAGAGAAGACGCCGTCCTTCCCGAAGCGCCCGAACGAGAAGTCGGCCAACGGGATGGATTGGGACTGTTCCGCGCGCCGCGCCTGCTGCTCACGAACCACCCGGGGATCCTCCCAGGGTGTAGTGCGCATCGTCTCGACCAGCCCATCGTTCACGGCCTGGTTGCTCACTGTGAATCGCACAGTGCGCCGCTTGAGAACCAGGCCACTAGATCCATACAGCGCAAGGAACGCCTTTCCGATCTCTGCTGTCGGCAGAGTGAGCAAGCCGCATCCCTTGTGTGTCCTGCCCTGGCGAAAGAGCTGGATATGGAAATTGATCTTAGAGTCGACGGAGAATGGCGGCCGATGGAGGTGAGTGGCAAGCGCGGTCTTCAATTCGTCGAATGTGACTGAAAAGTCGATGTTCCGCATGAACAGCTGCATCGCTGACGGGTGCGACTTTCGACGGAACAAGGAAAGCCAGGCTCAGCCGACAGCTCCCAAGGTTAAGAAGTAAGCTGGGCGCCTATATGCAGACTTCGATTAACATGAGCATGGCTATCGATGGGACGCTGTAGTCTCAGGCGGATCCACCCCTGTTCTCACGATACATAAGTAGCAGTCAATCCAATCGCCTGCGCTTCCCACTGCTGTCCCGTTCGATCGAACTGCGTCGTCGCTCTTTCCAACCTCGATCGTCCTCTCTGCGACCCTTGCGTATTGGAGGCGACCGGGACCGCGAGTATGACCGGGACCGCGATCGCCGTCGAGGGTTCCGATCCTGATACCGTTCTCTTGACCTCGAGCGACCAGAACGCCGATCATTCCACCCATCGCGGTCTCGGTCTCGGTCTCGGTCACGAGGACCCCCCTGATCGTCACGTTCCCGCTCTTTGCCCGCTCGACTCGCACCGTTATCGCGGTCGTTCCATCGAGAATGCGAAGGAGGCCCACCCCAGTTCCTCTGCGGGCCCGTGGGTGCTTGATTAGCGCCCGTACCAGCCAATTGCATGAGCGGGCCAGTGTTTTGCGGGCAGTCTGGAGCAGTGAGCGACGTAAACTGAGGGGAAAGAAGTAACGGATACCTTTTTTCATATGCGGACCGCCGCATAAGAAACAACCTCCTCCGTCAGTAGATTTCCCCCCGGCCTTGACAGGTGCAGCACCGCCAAAGCCACCAGTGGCAAGTGTGGTGTCTTGGTCGACCAAGTGTGTATACTTGGTGCGGCTCCGTTTGCCAAAGTTCTTCACTTGCATCACGGCTGGCAACACCGACACATCCACCGTTGATTCCGTCGCCTCGGTGAAGTCGTGCCGCTTGAGAATTTCCTCGTCCTGGATAAGATAGTTCAAGTACAATGCGGAGAAGACGTGCATAACGGGGACTGACTTGATGGAAAGCACCCTTGTGCCAGTACTTTTGGAGGAACTTTTGTGAACCCTTGGGTTTTTCGTCGCGTAGTTTCTGGGCGCGCTCCAGGTCCTCCTTCATGCGCTGCTCCTCAGGAAGAGCACGTCTCCTCTCAATCTCCTCTCTCTCCTCGTCACGGCGCAGTTCCTCCTCCTTCTCTTTCTTGATACGGCCCAATTCACGCAGTCTCCACGCCTCGAACTCGGCCTCAGGATCAATTCCGTCGGTGTCGTCGATGTCCGGGACGTTGTCCTCCTTCTCCTCTATTGCAATGCAAGTTCAGAGTGGGAGCGGTGAGAGCAAGAGTAGCGTACTTTCGAGTAGCTCTCTCCGGATACTTTCTGCGACCATGTCGTGACTCTGTTTCTTACGTTCCTCGGCATCTGCTTCACGCTTCCGTTGAGCCTCCTCCGAATCTTCTGCTATGTCACGTTCCACTAGTGTTGCACGAGCGCGTCTACGTCTTGTTGAGAATCTGGAGCAATGGTATGTCCGAGCGTACACGCACTTGGGCACGAAGACCGGTCGGAATTGCAGTTTGGGTTTCTCCTCTTCCGAGTCAGATTCGTATTCGCTAGACTATGCGGCAATGAGCTAGGCAAAAAATAGATGAGAGAGAAACACGCGCGTCTTCGGCTTCTGAATCGGCCTTCAACCCTGGTTGCGTCGGTTCATCGTCGGACTCTTCCTCTGATTCTGTGGTTGCGGATATTTGAGTGCAAAGATACCTCTGCAGAAACAGCGACGCACCCTCCTCGTCCTCCACTGCCGTCCGACCGGACTCCTCCCGACCTGCCACGATGACTTTGCCATCTTTCGAGATATTGACATCTTTGAGGGACACATTTATGGCCTTGATCTGTTTGAGAGGAGGGGCAGGCTTGACGTCGTCCTCATCGTCCTCGGAAACTATGTCTTGTTCCCCGCCAATATCAACATCCTCCTCCTCCATTCCAGCACCACCGGCCTCATCCTCTTGTTCCGATTCATCCGAAGGTAGTTCCGCTGCCCCTTTGGGAGCCTTTCCCTTCCAGTATCGAACAGCTGGTCTTGCGAGCCGCGGAGCAGGTTTGCGGGCGGCCGAAGACATAGATGGGAACTTGAGACTCGCGTTTGTTTGGTAAGTGCAAACAAGCGCGTACCCCGCGATTCAGACGAAAGTGAAGCTATTTGGAAACTCTAAAAGATTCCCACACAGATCATATTTCTCATTTGCATTGAATATGTATGTACATACGTAATCTGCGAACCTCGAGTGAGATGCTCAACATTGGCTTACTTCACTTCGATCTCAAAGGCGGCGAGCGCTGATCGTGCTTACCACCCAGCGGTCGAGCCTCTGGCATCAGGATGGAGGAAGAATAACCAGATGTTGAGAAAGTAATGTCTGATTGAAGGTGAGATTCACAGCGTACGAATTACAGCTTGAGCTTCTTCTCCATATCCTGGTGAATGTTCTGCGGAGCAGGGTACTCCATACCTGCAGCGAAAGTAAGTGCCCAAGCTCAAATATTACCACAAAGAAACACACCACCGAAGACATCCACCGGCTCAATCGTCTCGTCTCGGCCCATCAAAATGTCCAGATGGATGTTGGACTGAGGCAGAGCGGGCATGTGAGGGTTCTACGCCAGGTCGAGTTGAGGCTCAAGCGTCGAGAGAGCGAAGGATCACACACCATCGACACGATCTTGCGTTCCATCAGATGGCGCATGGGAGCGTGCATTCCGTAGACATTGCGTTGGAAGGTCAGTTTGAGGTTGTCTTGTGTCTCCTCCCACTGCGACGATTGAGGAAGATGCGAGATGCGAATTCAGGTTGACTAACATTCTCCAAGCGCTCCTTCAGCCCATCCCCAGTCTTGATCTCAGCAGCGATGGTGCGAGGTCCGTACTGAAGCGTATCGTGAAGACCGAGGCTGTTCGCGGTCTTCTGAACAGAAGCCGACTTCGAGGAGCTAGCGGGAACTAATCTTTGTGACGGGTCCTGGAAAATAGGTCGGCAGACGCGTCGAAAGCCATTGCGCACTTACCATAGTAGTTGGCAGCAGAGACGCGTAATACTGCAGCCTGATGGCATCATGGTGACAACCGTGTAACGTGTCACTGTCACCCTCGTGATTTGGAGGCAGACTACTGAAACTTGACCTTAACTCCCTTATCCCACCACGTAGACCAGTACTGGAGCTTCTTTGACGAAGTGTCTCAGTCGATCCAGCTTCCCGAGCTCGGACACAGCAGCCATGAGCACCCGGCAGTCAAGATCAGGCAGTATCCCAACACCTCGTGCGGGCTCATCGACCTCACCTACTCGCAATATTGAATCTGTGATATCCATCCCTTTCTCTACGTACAACGCACCGCCTCCTCGTCCCCGAATCTCCACGGCTCAGCCAATCTCTGTGCAATACCGCAACAGCGATGATCCACGGGCGAGACGAAGTAACCCTGCCAGTTTGCCTCCGACGAGGTCGTCCGCAGCCCGGTCCATGAGCTATTCGGCGCCGGGAATCTCCTTTCGATCCTCCTCTCGCCCCAGCACGTTTGAACCTCGAATCGTCCGTGCAGACTCCGCCGATCCCGCATGCCTGCCGTCCTCCTCTTCAGCCTCCTCGTTCTCTATCCCTCCTGCTCGTCCGCGGCGCACCAGTGCTGCGGGTGCTCAAACTCAGAGAGCCACCCTGGCGCCTGCGGCGAACGTCACTGCGCCTGCCCGCCCAACCCCATTCACGTGCCCCGCCTACCTGGAACATTCTGCGCTGAGACATCTGCTCCAGACAGAAGCCCCTCCCGCTCTTCCCCCGTCCCGGAAGGCGGCCGTGACGCGCAGATCAGCCACTCCGTCAGACAGTGACGATGATGGCAGCCCTCCTCCCCGGCGGTCAACATCAATGTCTATGAATATCACTATCCCCACGCGCTGGAGCGAGCGGCATCGGCACGAGACTCTGAGTATCTCGGAAGACGGACGGGATGTGACCTATCAGGGTGCGTTCTTGAGCTGGACATTAACGTATACCAAGCCGATCCTTGCGCAGGTGCCTCGTGCAACGGCGAGAAGGACGCGGCAGCTGTTCGAACCACAAACCCCATCCCACCGGCATGTGGCATCTACTATTACGAGGTGGAGATTCTCAGCAAAGGCAACAAAGGGTAAGCAGAGTCGATAGTCCGGGCTGCTCGCTGTGCGCTGACACGTTACCGCTCCAGACACATCAGCATTGGGTTTGTGTTATTTTCCTATCCGGTGGCGTGTGAGGGACTCACTTCTGCGCAGATTCGCTGGGAAAGACGTGCGCATTTCGCGACTTCCTGGATGGGAACGCGATTCGTGGGGATACCACGGTGACGACGGGTGCTCCTTCGCCGCGGAAAAGAACGGAACACCGTTTGGGCCTAAATTCGAATGCAAGTCTAGTGGATTCTGGCCTGTGGTTCTCGAACTGATCAGCTTTTTCCAGCTGGTGACATCGTTGGATGCGGAGTCGATTTCAGCACCTACCAGGCTTTCTACACGCACAAGGGCCGCATGATCGGGTCGGTTTTCAAGGATGTGGGCAAGCACTTTGAGCTGTACCCATCGATTGGCCTGCGGCACTCTGGGGAAGCCGTGCGCGCCAACTTTGGCCAAGCGCCCTTTCTGTTCCCGATTGACTATTATGTCCATCAACAGCGTGTGCGAAACTGGTCAAACATCATGACGACACCGATCGGGTCACCCCCCAACACTGAGCAGCAGACCAAAGCGGCACTTGACAAGCTCGTCTTGGCGTATCTGGCACATCACGGGTACGCCAAGACGGCCCGCGCATTCCAGAAACAGGCTGCGGCGGACGACGTCGAGATGGACGGGACCACGGCAGGCATGGATGCCGAGATCGACAACCGGATGCGCATCGTCAACTTCGTGAACCAGGGGGACATCGACTCGGCTCTGCAGGAGACCGAGCGACTGTATCCAGGGGTGCTCGGGGCCGACGAGGGGCTGATGCGCTTCAAACTGCGCTGCCGCAAGTTTGTGGAACTGCTGCTGCGGGCCACGGCGCTGCACAAGCGGATGGACGAGGACAAGGACGGGATGGAGATCGACGAACACGGCAGCATCAAGGCCCAGGTCGAGCGCGCGCTCAGCCAGGCTATCGTCTATGGCCAGTCGCTTCTGAGCGACTACGAATCGGACAAGCGTCCCGAGGTCCAAGCGCTGTTCACCCGAACAGTCAGTCTCGTGGCATGGCATGACCCGATCGAGCGTGGTGGGATCACCGCGCAGGTGGCTGGCCCGGAGGCCCGAACGGAACTGGCCAACGAGCTGAACCAGGCGATTCTACGTAAGCTCCTGCTCTGTTTCGATCTATCACCGTCCCAGCTAAATCCTTGGTCCAGGATCACAAGGACAGCCCGCCAATCCCGCTCTGGAGACCGTCTACAGACACACCTCCGCCTGCATCCACCAACTGGGCATATCGGGTGTCGGGGCCGCTGCCTTTGCGGACATGAGAAAGGAATTTATTGACGCGTGAATTTGTGTATTATTTTATTCTGCTGATATATGCGAACAATTGTACTGCACACGGTGCGAAGAGCAACGCCGCAACAGCCAGAGGTCAAGTGTCTACGCTATTCATTGAATATGATACAAGTGAAGTGCTGCAGTGGTAATGGATGGGTATCAGTAGGATCCGAATGCTGTCTAAGATCTATTTGGCCTGTGCCTTGCGCTTGAGCGCTCTCTCCTCCTCATCTCCATCTTCGTCACGCGGCCGCTTCAGGGTGCGGTCGCGGCTGGGTGTGCTCGGCACAAACTGCATGGGGATAGTGTTGAACGAGCTGTGCGGAGACAGGCTCTTCGCTTTGACTTTCGGCGTCACCGGCGGCGTGTCCTGCGGCAGTTCGAGTAGGAGCTCGCGGTAGCCAGCTTGCACGACAGCCATCAACCTTGGAAGCTCTCAGAAGATTTGCATTGCGGAACACCGCCACCACTCACTGGGGAACCCGTGTGAATATCGTCATATAGACCTCCGCAAAGATCCTCGGCATGAGCATCGAGTAGTCATGCTTCTGTGCGTGAGCCGAGACTGCGTGATCAAGTTAGCTCAGACTGGTAGCAAGTGCATCGTCATCGAACTGCTCACTGTTTGGAACGCGTTTCGAATAGAACCGAACAAAGTCGAGCGGGTTTCTGTCCTTCATCCCGTAGTGCATCGTCGAATGCCTGACTATCACCGTCTCCTCGGTCAACAGGTGCAGATGGTCGGTGTTGCCCGCCGCCTCCGCGATCTTGCGCGCTTCTTCAACAATCCGTGCTGGCGTCACCGCTTCTTTGAAGATGTGCCGGTGCTCCCACTCGATGACACGCTGGTCCACAAACTTGTACAGATCCCGCTGCTTGATGCGGGCGAATAAGTCCCGCGCGGCACCCAGTACCTGCAACTCCAGTAAGACGCGGGAAATTAAGACCGCCGGGAGCCCCAACGCACCGGATCGTCGTCTGACTCTATTCGCGACATAATGTGGTCCGTCAAGTACAGGAATTTGTCCGGATTCTCGATCCGTTCTGCGATCTTCATGTACGGCTCAGCGAGCTTCAACGCATCGACAATCATGCACTCGATCGAACTCGCTGCGGTGTATGTGCATCAATGGGCCAGAATTGGCCGGAGAAGCAGCGACGCACCTGTCTTGTGATTGTAGATCGTCTTGTGCAGCTTGAAGCGCGTGTAGAAGATCTCGTAGAGCTGATTGATGTCCTTGATGTCGTAGCATATCTCGTCGTTGATAACCCGCGCGCTATTGATAAGACTACGAGGAATCAGAAAGGCGTGACACAAAACAGGCAGAATTACGTGCCGTTGAAATGAGATTGTGCAGGCTTCGCCGATCATGTACGAGTCTCGAGCGATGTAATCGAACCTAGGAGATCGTGACATGAATGAGGGGCAGCAGGAATGAGATTGTGCATACTTGTCGACATCCAGCCCATTGCGCTTGTTAGCTACGATATCAAATAAGAACCGCTTCTCGTCAGGACTGATAATAAACTTAATCAGGAGGTGGAGGTAAGTCCTGTCAACGCACCTGCAGAGACTCGGGTCGCCGTCAATCAGCGCCATGACAAACTGAATGTCGGCCTCCGAGGAGATCTGCACGGGATTTTTCTGCACAAGTGCCCGGAACATCATCTTTGACGCGTCCTCGTGCTGCCACTTCTTCTCTGGCCTGTGGGGGGTGTCAGTCAGCCTCAGTTCAGTCCGCATCGGGGGAAGAGCACGCACGCGACCGCAGGGATGAACTGCCCATCCCACACATGCGACCACGGACCGTGCCCTAGATCATGGCACAGTCCGGCGATCTGCACCATGTTTACGTCCCTGTCGGTGATTCGCAGCTCGGGCTGGGATTTGCGCAGATGCTCGACCATGCATCTGGCCAGATGCCCCACACCTGCCAGGAGTCTTGATACACGATACGAAGTGCGTTTGGGACGGGATGGAAGACGCACCGAGACAGTGCTCGAACCGGTTATGCGAGGCCCCCGGCCATACGAGGTACGACGTTCCCAGCTGTTTGATCTCCCGCAAACGCTGGAACTGCTTACTAATTCGAGCCAGAATGATGAATATTCAAGTCGCGAGCAATGTCCAAATGAGCGGCTACGCACGTATCGATGATGGAAGACATCAGGAGGGAGAGCGGGACTGTTCATGACAAGTTGGGCTCGGGTCCGATTATATGCGAAGGAGACGGACGCACTGTAGTCATGGATTGGGTCTTTTATCTGTCGCATCTGAGTGTGGTGCGCGGGCTCGACCATGGCGGAGGTACGAGATGGTCGCGAGTCGCCGAGGACGGGAACGTGTGTCACACTGCAGAAGCGTCACATGCTGATGGCTTGGGGCGGGAGTCACGATATCATGATGTGACAGGACGCGTCAAGCGATCAATCTGATCGAGTTCCGAGTTGGATATTTTCTGTGAACTTCTGACACTGCAACTGCCAGCAGCCGCAGACTGACTATGACCGTCAAGCTTGAAAGTTCTGGGATGCAACGACTGACTCGGTTTTGCGCGATAGCCGGCTCCCCTCTCCGACTAAGCTGCTCACAAGGCCATGCTCAACCAACACGCCGCCTCTCGTTTTCAATCCCTACTTACCTCCTATCCAAGTACCATGGCACTTGAGCTAGTCTAAAAATGCTTCGAAAAAATTCGCCAACATCCGGAAATCCACGTTGCTCCTAGGCGCGCTTTATCCGCGTACATTTATGAAATCCCCGATCCAAGCCACCATCTGAGAGGGTGGGCCCAAGCGCACGGCTCAGTAGTGTCTTCGGTCTTCCAACGGCGTTCTGCGCTCTTCGGTACTAACGCTGTTATCTGCGATCCTCGATCTGTTGCGCATCCACTGAACCATGGACAGGGGAAATATGCGCGAAGACGTGTTTCCTCACGAAGTTGTTCAAGTTCGATTGCATGTGCCCTCAGCCCCTATTAATGGTTCAGCGGCCGGTCAGCAGGTAAGGCGAGAGTCATCAATCATGGGTCTATTATGTTGACTGGAGCCGTTTCGACTGCTGCTACTTTTCCAGGTAACTTGAAACGTTCAATCCCCCGTCTGCAAATGCTTTCCGAGGATGAATTCCTGGGTTTAACGATTCCGCACACACAAATCGATTTTTTCTGTCGAAATTGTCCCTGGTAACTCAGCGGAGGTCGAAATGAGAGATTTCCACTGAATTATACAGCTCCAGCGCTGGAATGGCACACCAAAAATATTTCAACTTGCGCCTTTATCCGTGTTGTGCTGACATCTCAGGATGACATGTGCCTCCCTTGCGAATGCGACCGAATTGGTGATACAGTCCACTTGGGTCAGAACGGAATCCCTTGGTCAATCCCGCCCGAGCGTCACTGCATTTACCGGGGCTGATGAGGGTTGATGTCAGACAAATTCTCCAGGCTTCGATACCTGCTGTCCCTCATCTATTCAGTCGGGACCGGTTTCACCATGCGTGGCCCCTTTTTGATGTACATGTACCTCTCGTATGCGGTGGATCCATCCATCCATCCATTCATCTATCTATCTATCTATCTATCTATCCATCATACTTATTATCTGAGCCCTTTGTTACTCTCAATGACCCGATATAGAAATCACTGCGTGACATCAACGGGGAATGGATGTCCCCTACCTGGGAATGGATGTCCCCTACCTCACTACCACACACGGATCTTGCACAGCAGTTCAACACACCGTTGCCTCTGCCAAGCCCCCGGTTACTTCCTGTTAGGTCAGTCTAGCCCAACAGCTTATTTGCACTTCGAAATCGGCTGTGTGTACCGTTGTCCATACAGGACATGGTCTGTTTCCATGATGGAACACGATGTAGTGCTCGGGGTCCTGGCACCCCGTGACAGGATGGCTCATATGCCCTGACTCGCCGGTACACAATGACGTAAAAGGCGGTGCTAAGCCGCTTCGCCGTTGGTGATCGTGTCGGGGGGAGCGTAACTCTACAATGGAGGGTAGTCCATATTCCCGGTTTTTTTCACAGATGATTCCTACTAGGAATGCCTTTGTACCATTCTTCAGAGCATCAGCTGTAAAGACAAAAAATTGAGCCATCAGATGAGTTCGGTCTGATCATTTCTGATGATGTTCACACGACTTTACACGCATGTGATCAATAGTCCTCTCGAAACACATGCATGGGTTTCTGTGCACACAACCACAAGTGCTCGTGGTCTTTGTCTCAGATAATGAACTCATCGCCATTTCCCTCTGCTTCAATCCCTTGCCGCGTGCCCAAACCCAAGCCCACTGGGATGGCTGTAGGCAGGGGAATCGGTGGCAATGCTCTGATAAGCGTGGCGAAGAACACTGATCGAAGCTATCTACGGAACAAACGGCATGTCTACAGAGCCAATCAGCATAGCCACCGATCACCCCTCTCACCCCACACTCACCCGGATTGTCGCGCACTCGATTTGTGAAGTGTTGAGACTGATCTGAGTGCAATTGTTGCACGGGCGGTTAGCAATAAGACCATGAAAGAGTGTGCCACACTCCGTCTAGGGAGGCATGAATCAGAGATGTGGGACACGAGCAAATCTGAGGGAGTCAGGGTCGAAGTTTCCCGGGACCGTGTCCCTGCACACGAAAGCCTTGATGGCGGTCTCGGAAAAGCGCGTGTCGTAGGCAGTATAACATACCTGAGTAGGCCCGCGGTACCGTCGTCCATTAGGGTCAAGGTCTATCTTGATGCCAGGATCTGACTAAGTGCTGGGGGTCCTGGCACTCCGTGACCATATGCCTCATATCTGCTGAGTAAGGTGATATCGGGTGATATTTCGGTATAGTAAGTGTTGTCGTCGTCGTTGATGGCGATAGCGGCTTCTAGTGCTTTCAGACTGCAGAGCCAGTTTTTTCCTGTTGTACGGCGATTATTGGAGTGCAACGTATGAAGCACGTGAAATTTGCATGCGAACAAGGGACACAAACCCTAATGGTCGAGTCAACTATCATTTCAGGTAGGGCTAAGCACAGCCTTGTTGGCACGTGCAATGATCTCCGGTAGTCTCCGGTTCATTTGCGCTATGTATTGGCTGGGATCCGGATTGTACTTAGCTTGGATCATTGACCAGACTCTCCGCATCAGGATTGACAACAGATATCTCTGCCCCACGCTGTGTGGCCTTCCTACGAACAGCCGCCTGCTGTTTCAAGCGATCCAAATCAATCCGCGGAGGTACATTTTGGAATTCCGATCGCCGAACAAGTGACACACCGTGGGGAAAATGAGTTTTGTGGTCGCGTTCATTTGGGCGTTTCCTTCCTATAAAAAACTACAAAAATGTACAAAAATTTATTTTCATCAAATCACTATTAAAGAGAGGTGCCTTTGCGCACTGTACATGCAAAGAACCCACGGAGTGCACCGGTCCAAGCGCGACGCGAGAGATAACGACGAGATGAAGAGATGGCGAGGGCGATGAGCAACGCCGAATGACACATCAGGGAGGGGTCACGGTGTGACTGGAGATCACTGGTTGGACCCCAACATCGAATCATGATCACACTTTCCTAAAACAGACCTTGACCCTAATGGACGACGGTACCGCGGACACTCCGTATTAGGTCGGTCCGGAATAGAGTAAAAGTTGGCCGAAAATTTTTGGATTTCCGGTCCGAAAATAGAGTAAAATCGAGCTCCAGAGCGCGGAAGCGGTCCGGCATAGAGTAAAAGTCGGGCGAAGTCCGACCGATTTTGGCTAAAATATGACTTGAATATGGCCAAATCACGCAATTTTGGAACACTCTAAGCTCTCCCGTAAGCCGCAGCGACCGGCATGAGTACTCGATCACGACCGGGACTGATGGCCTCAACAAATCGGACAATGAGCGACCAAAATATTGGAAATTTTCGTAGCGTGGGAGAAATTTTTTGATTTTCCGGTCCGGAAATAGAGTAAAAGTGACCCCAAACCGCCAATTTTATAGAGTAAAAGTCTTGGAGCTGGCGGACCGACCCGATACGGAGTATCCGCGGGCCTACCTGAGTTACTCGTTGGCGCAAAGCTCATGAAAACGATTCGCATATGTTGCCTGCAGCTGCTCAGGAGTCCCAGGTGAGCATAGATTACTGTAGCGTTCACCGTGGCCTGGTCACGTGACGGTGAAGACCAAGAAGGGAGCACTACTGACGTGTTCCAAATGACGACCAGAGATCATGTCACAGTGTGTCACATCCATCACTAAGACCCCCAAGCTCAAATCACGATCGCATCTATCAAAACAGACCATGTCCTTAATGGCCAACGGTACTGTGTGAGTATTGATTTGTAATATAGCACCCAAAATTGGATAAGAATGGAACTTTTTCTATGGCGTTTTGAGCAAAGTTCTGTCCGATTTTGTCCCTCTCAGCCTGAGGTATATTCCACAAGACCTAACTTATCACGGTGAGTGAATGACTTAATTTTGGCCTTGCATCTGGGTCTCAAGGAGGACGGCAACTACGAGAAAGTGTGTGGGCTGTACCCGCAATTAGCACTGTCTCAGCCAAAGATTTAGCATTTTCGGCCTCATTTGCGCGATGTTTTAGACTGAAAAATGGCCATTTCGGTCCCTGACTTGCACTAGTTTGGACTGTCTCAATAGGAGTAGCCGGGGCCTCGCGGGACGCGACCACTTGCATCATTTGCATCAGATCATTTCGACGGTGTTTCATTCCTTTTTTGGTTCAAAGATCATAAGTATATGAACCTGGCCGAGGCAGTCGTTTCAATGGTTCACCTTCCTTTGCCCTCTTTCTTTCTTGCACGATTCGAGATCGTTCTGCTTTTTCTTTCTTCTAACTATTGACCTGGTGTCTTTTCCTTCGACCAACTCTACATTTCTTTCATCTCACAACAATGCGTTCCACCTTTGTCGCCCTTGTTTTCGCATCTGCTGCCCTTGCCCGCCCTGCTCGTCTCGATCGTCGCGTCGATGCTAAAGCAAATGGAGAAGCCGCTATTGCCTTGAACGCCAAGTTCGCTACCCTGACGGCAAACAGCCCTTGCACGGAAGGTGAGGATGCCTGTGTGACCGGCCAGGTCGCGCAGTGTGTCAACGGGAAGTTCGTTCTCCAGCCTTGTGCCGCGACCACCCAGTGAGGATCAGTCTCGCGCTACGCCAGATGATGCGTTCTGATGCCACATTGCTCCAGGTGCTTTGCCCTTCCTCTGGTCAACTCTGCTGGAACATCCATCACTTGCGACACCCAGGCCGATTTCGACGCCCGTATCGCTGCGACGGGTGCTTCGGCGGGTGCGGCGGCCCCTCCCCCTCCCTCGGCTAGCACGGCGGCTGCTCCTCCTCCTCCCGCGACCAGCACGGCGGCTGCTCCTCCTCCTCCCGCGACCACCACGGCGGCTGCTCCTCCCGCCGTCACCTCGGCCACGGATAACTCTGCTGCTGGTGGAATCCAGGCTTCACTCAGTGAGTCACGATAACAATACTCACTTGATACTCGTACCTGTATTCATGCATCTTAGTTCTCGACCCGTCCGTTGTCTGCACGAACTGCACGCAGAATGGCCAGAACCCGCCCGTGGCCGGACAGACTGCCTCAGACACTAGCCCGAAGTACGTCGGAATTTTTATACACGGGACGATCATTGGTTCTGACGCCGCCCAACAGCAACTTCATCAACTTCTGTGCCGCGACCATCTCGAACCTGCCCATCACCAACGGTCAGCAAGTGACCACCGGGTCGTGCAACCCGATCCCGATGGGTCAGATCCCGGCCAAGGACAAGATGCCGTCCGCCAAGTTCGTCTTCCCGCCGAACCAGGGCACGGTCACCGCCAACCAGGCATTCAACGTCCAGCTCGCGCTGAAGAACATCCAGACCGGTGTCTTCACCAACGCCGCGTTCACCTACTTCATGGCGCCCCAGAAGCTGAATGCGCAGGGCCAGATCATCGGCCACACCCACGTCGTGATTGAGGCCCTGTCCGCGCTCGGCCAGACCACCCCGACTGACCCGACCAAGTTCGTGTTCTTCAAGGGTATCGATGCCCCGGCCGACGCCAACGGCATTGCCACCGCCGCCGTCACCGCCGGTGTCCCCGCTGGTTCTTACCGCATCTGCTCCATCAACACCTCTGCCAACCACGTTCCGGCCATTGTCCCGATTGCCCAGCACGGTATGCTTGATGACTGTGCCTACGTGCGTCCTTTCTTGTGTCTCGCCGTCGTCGCGCTTGCTGACGCTTTTGTGCAGTTCACCTCGGCCTAAGCTTGTTGTTGTGTTATGATTGTCATGATATTGTATTACCGTTGTCGTAGGACGTAATGAGAAGAAATAAAGCCCACTCGTTTCTGCAGATCGTTGGGATAGTGAGGCACTCAAAGCAGGGAAGATAACAGCTTTCGATAGATCAACACGTTACATTCAAATTTCTACTGCGTGCGGGCGGTCTACTTCGATGGCTCGGCAGCCTCAGAGTCGTCGTCGTCCCCAGCCTCTTGCCTTTCGCCATCACCGCCGAAAATAGACAAAACTTGCCGTGCTATCCGCATGGACCACGTCAGACGATGTGTCGCTGTGAAGGAATGGTACTAGCAACCTTATCCGTGCAGGCTTTGTATACGGCTCCCAGATCGTCGAGCCATGCTTCATCACCCGTTACGCACCATGTCTTATTGGCATGGGTGGGAGTAGCACCGCTACAGTAATTGAGGTGTAACGTGTTGCCTATGCCCACTGTCTTGCGCGCACAAGAAGGAAAACATCTCTGTTCCTGTGGAATGGGCAATGCGAAAAGAACTTTTAGGTCTGTCGCTAGTACAAAGTCCCGACTGCGAAGGGGTTTCTAGGTCAGAACACAACTGGAACGTAGCATTTTCTGGAATATGCTCACCAATGTACTGGAAAAGCAGCTTCCATCAGCTCTTCACTCCCATCCGCTGTATTAATCAGTCTGGAGAATCCTGGGGGACCAGAGGTCAAGGAGATTGAATATACTTGTTGGTTAAAGGATGGCGTCAAGCCATGGAAATCAAATGAATTCACTCCCGAGCATATTCGCATATTTCAACGTCCGTCGCGTGTCTAGGCACCTGGTTCTGCTCCGATGCACTCGGGACGAAAGTTCCGCATTCATTCAGAGCATGCATCGGCGCATAGTTTGCTTTAGGCAGCTCCAAGATGCAGCGACTGGTTCTCGTGCGCAAATGTCGATTCGAATCGCCTGGTGAGCTGGAAACGGAGATGGTAAAATACGGAGCTCTGGCGCCTCGGCTTGGAGTGACAGGCACCTTGATTCCAAGCTGGAGAGGTGCAGTAAAGCGGTATTTCCTGTATTTCAGAGAACCTGAATCTAAACAAGTTTTTCCTGCACCTTCTCATCGACCTTCTCTTGCACGCTCTCCTTCTTTTCCAACACATCACCAACGACTTCCTCAACCACACCCTCGGCTTTCTTCTCCATCTCCCTCACGACACCCAATGCTTCAGTCACCTTCAGACCCGTGAGCTCCTGGAGCTTCTCCAGGGCACCGAGCACGCTCTCGCCCGCCTTGTCCTTCCCCTTCAGCGAGCCCTCCTTGAGCCTCTCCCACCCCATCATCGCATGCGATTTGCCCGTCTCGTGGAAGCGCGCCACCTCCGGCATGTGCGCGTCCTCTAGGTCGGAAGCGTACGCGCGGATGTTGGCTGACGTCTGGGGGAGGAAGTGCGCGAAGGCCACGGCACCGAAGATCGGTGGGGTCAGGAAGCGCAGGGGGAATGCGCGGTGCCGCGTGAGGATGGTGCCCGCGAGAAGGGCAGTGGCGGCGTAGAGCGCGCCGGGAGTGAGAGTTTCATTGGGAGCGTGCAGAGATTTCAGCCGAGCTGTAGGTTGGAGAAATCAAGTCAAACGAGAGTATAGATAGGGTGATGCAGCAAGCGCACCCTCGACTTGTCCTTCAATCCCAATCCATTGACTGGCTAGCCCTTGCACACTCGAGTGCGCCTCGCGCAGTGTTCCCGCAACCGCTCTCCTGGTCTCGCCAATTTTGAGCTCGAGGTCGGAAGGAGTGTTGAGGAGTAGTATCTCTTCTTCGGCAGCAGGATAGATAGATAGCTGGGCAGAAGAACAGGTTTACTTAGGTAGCCAAGAGCTGGGATGTAGAGCCCACTTTTTGTTTGACCGGGCCAGCCTCAGACGACGCCATGTCGTTTAATCAAGCCGGATTCTTCGGGCAATGTCGAAGATAGCAAGACTGGATCACTTGCTAGTCTTGGACCCACAGGGTGCGGATGGCAGGAGCGGAGGAGGACGGAAATTCGATGATGGCATCAAGTGATCGACACAAGCACTGTCCTCTGCCGCCAAGGCACCTCTTCTCCCTCGTCCCGCAGCCTCCATACCCGTCATGAATCGCATTTTCGGCTCTTCAGCGAGCAAGAAACCCAAGCCTACCTTACAAGATGCTATTGCGGCGGTCCGTCGCCTTCATCGAGCCTGCTCTCCCTCTCGGATTGAAACTGGATCCAGACCGATGTTAGAATTGCTGCGATCGAGGTCAAAGTGAAGAAGCTAGACGGAGAACTTGGCAGATACAAAGAACAGATGTCTAAATTGCGGAACGGGCCAGGAAAGGTGCCGCCGATCCCCCACATTCATCGTGTCTAGATGGCTGACTACCGTGATCTCGCAACTCTCTTTGCTGTTTAAACAGGACGCGGTCCAACAGCGCGCAATCCGCACGCTCAGGCAGAAGCGCCTGTACGAATCCCAACTCGCCCAGCTCGCGCAGCAGACGTTCAATATGGAGTCTGCAGCGCTAACGACGGAGAACCTGCGCAATACCATGGCTACTTTCGATGCCATGCAGGTGGCAAACAAGGAGATGAAGAAACAGTATGGAAAGATTGATATTGACAAAATCGAGGTCTGTTTGCTTGCTACCACAGTGATGACGATAATTGACCCATTCAGGCGATGCATTATGACATGGAGGATTTACTCGAACAGAGCAACGAGATTCAAGAGATGATGGGTCGTTCGTATGCTGTTCCGGACGAGATTGATGAGGCAGACCTTGAAGCTGGTGCGACCTTGTGAATCCAATGCAAGTCTGATCATTAACGGCCACTCCAGAACTGGATGCGCTGGCTTTGGAAGAAGAAGAAGAGGGCACTTCCTACCTTGCTGATTTGAACAAAGTTCCAGACTTTGTCGATGAAGCGCCAGTAGAAGTCTCTGAAGTGAGCGACCAATCTTGGTATCCTGGACTTGTTGGCTCATTTATGCGTTATCCTTGCAGTCGTCTGCCCCTCAGGCGGTCAAAACAACGTGGTAGAGGACTCAACTTTTGTAAGATCACTGTATATTTCTTTACTCCGGATATATTGTATTTGCGTCCTTGTGAATCTACTGCTTGAGTTGGTGGCCCCTGCAGAACCTCGAACCACACAATTCTTCTTTAGATCCTGGTGGACACCAAGATTTGTATTGTTTTCTGGCACGTATTACGATTTTGTATGGTACTTAGATTGTCCTCTATAAAGACCAGATTTTGACTGTGGCATCCCGTCCTCCAGAGACCATGTACCGGTCCATATATCGCAGTCGTTCTACAGGCCGGAGATGCCCATTTGTCTGCAAGGTCGAATACTGCTGGCTCGTTCGGTTATACACCTTGATTCCGTTTTCCCCACTTGCAGCCACGATCTTCCGTGTGTCGAACTGGAGTGCCGTGACGGCATGGTCGTACTTGAGAGTTTCCAAGGTCCCGCCAGTCCGCAGATCCCAGACTTGAACGGTCTTGTCCAGACTGCCGCTGGCGATGTGGATCTCATCGAACTGTAGACAAGTCACTGCACCGGTGTGACCGAGAAGAGTCCGATGAGCTTGTCCGGTTCGCACTGGGTCTCGTCAGATGCAAGAATACAGACGGTGAAAGACACGCACTGTCCCACATTCTGACGGCCCCATCACCACTGCCACTGACCAGTCCATAGCCCCAGAACTGCACGCCGCCAACAAAGTCTTCGTACATTTCCCATGTCCCATCCGCGAACGCTGGCATCGGCACGGCAAAGGTCCCGACAGAGGGAGCTATATCCGAGAAAAGCCCGGTGGGTAGTCCACCGGGTGCCCTCGGAGGATGCGACATGGCCCAAAGAATGTCCATCGTCATCACACACTGGCCGGTGGTGAGATCCCACTGCCTAAGTGTCTTATCCGAAGCGCCGGTGACAAGACAGTCATCCTCGAAGTACAGCGCCGTCACCGATTTCGTATGGCCTTCCAACACCCGTGTGCAGCAACCATCTCGTTCGCCGCCATTGGCCGGCCCTCGGATCCGGCTGGTCTCCGACCCATCAGGGTCGCGCTGGAACCCAGAGGCATCTTCCTCCTCCTCTTCGGCAATTTCACTCAACGTCACCAGCTCACCCTCGTCGCTCCACCCGTCGGTGTCCACCTTACGCAGATCCCACAATCGCACATTTCCGTCGGCGCCTCCAGTCAGACAGGTTGTATCTTCGACCTGAAGGCATTTGACCGCATCAGTGTGCCCTCGTAAGCGACCGATTTCAGTCCCAGAGAACAGATCCCAGACACGAGGCTGAGAGTCGTCCTGCGACGCGCTGACAAGGGTGCCATAGGGCTCCGAGAGATCGAGCGCTGTTATTGGGGTTGAGTGACCTTCCAGGGTCTGACCACGAAGTCAGATTAGTGTATAAATGTGACTGGCGGCTTACCATAAACGCAACGCCGGGCGGGAGCTCATCATGTTCAGATGGCAAGAAGGCAGGGCCTGCGTTCGTCAGTATTACCCTGACGAGGGAGCGTTCGGATCTCACCCTTCCTGCGTCGAGACGCGTGGTTTGGATGTGCGGGGAGGGCAGAATGTTGTTGCTGAGCACGCTGTTGCGATTGCTCGTACTCTAACCTCTCTTTGACTCCCACGACTGGGAGCAGTTTAGCGCCATGGAAAGCAATCGAAAGCCTCACGCACGCTCATCTTCCAATTCCAGCTCGTCTTCATGGAGCTTGAGCAGATTTTGCTCCAGCTTCGCCCTGATGCCATCCAACGCAGCAATCTTGCTCGTTATTTCCGCGATTTCGTTATTTATTAAACTCTAAGAGTCGCGTGAGCATAGTGATAGAGAAGAACGAACACGACGCACCCTTCGCACATGGATGTTCTCCTTGTCGCGTAGGATTTCTTTCGTCTGGCGAGTGAGCTCGTCCTTGCCAAGGATCTTCGCGCTGCTCAGGCTTTCCCGTCCCCGACGTTTGCCTTTGCCAGGCTGCACAACAACCACATCGTCCTCACTCGTCACACTCTGCCCATCGTGGTCATGCTCCCCGTCCTCTTCCTCCGCAAGCAACCCGCGTGCACTCATCCCTAGCCGCTTGAGTCCCAGCCTCGGCGTATCGACGTTACGCATCTGCCGCCTGCGGACACGGCCCTGCTCCGCACTCGGAATCGTCGCATTGAAACCCCGCAGAAGACTGACGTCCGACGCGACACCGTCTGGCTCCGGGATTTCGCTCAGTAGCAGCTCGTCCGTCGCCTCAACGATTTGCAGGTCTCCCGAAGTGATCCGCCGGGACCCCAGCCCAAGTCGCAGCGGCGCGCGGCCGAGGGTCGCGAAATCGACAGACGGGCGTGGTTGCGAGTTTGCTGCGGGGGAAATGGTTTGGCGACGGAGGGAAGCGTTGGCAGCCGAATTTATCATGCGCGGCGTCATAATGACCGGGGCCACTGCAGAAGTGAGATTAGGTCACTACTGGGCAAACAGGTAGTGAAGATGCAGCGCACAGTCGGACAGAATTTTCGTGGAATCATGTTTCTTGTGCGAGAACCGGGCAAAAAGTGCGTTCTGAACAAGCTCGAGTTTGCTAGGGCCGGAGCTTGACGTTCCCGCAACCAATGGATCCAGAGCCGGGCGAGTATGAGGTTTCTTGTTCTCCGTCGATCCACCCGATGAGTGGGCAGACATGGAAGAAGAGGACGATGCAGTTGATTGTGGTTGAAAGCAAAAACGTATGTAAGTAGCTGTCACCACTGCCGAGACGCGAATATACCCGGGTGCGGACAACGCGCTTGGCTCACCCGCTCAAGAAGCAGGCCGCACTTGTACAGAGGCTATCTTGAATTAGAGTACGTATGATACACCAGCATTATTTAGGATTCGGCAAATGTGTCCATCCAAAGTCAAGAATTATCCCGAGCCCTTGCGGTCGAAGGTCGTATTCGCGCCGAAACAGTGGTAAGTGTGCGACCGGTTCTGCTGAGGCCGGTGCCTCTCGTAGCAGGGTATCGGGCGAGCTAGTAATGGGCTCTACAACTTTTCGAGCTCTTCGGAAATACGAATCGAGAAGGCCCCGCACACCGGCTGCAACCTCACGGATCGGCGAAGCGTATCTCGCAGCTGGTGGGCCAGGTGAAGGAAGATCCTCTTGCAACACCTCGGTGGCATTCGAACCCAGCACTACCTCAGGCTCTTCTGTTTCCTCATCCGGCACCGTTGATTCCTCCGCCTGTTTGAGTTGGCTCGCTAGTCTAAGGATACTCGATTCTTCCCAGCGCGAAACGTTGAACGGTTCGAAGAGTCCGCCGGACCAAATATCGCACCAGCAGCGGTCCAACAGACTTATCACGGGAGGTAAAGGAGCCTGGATCCCGCTGGGCAATGAGAAGTTGAGCGCTGCGCCGAAAGTCGTGATGTCGTCTGCCCAGGGAGTGGACAGTGGCGCCTCGAGGGGGAACGGATGCCAATTACAGGAGGAGAAGAACAGAGTTCCAAGCAGTACGATGCAGTAGAAACTGGGGACAAAGTGAGGTTCGGAGCCACCATACGTGAATTCACCGACCAAGGTCTAGCTTGGATGAACAAAGCAACAAGGAAGAGGATCAGAAAGTAGGGAGGAGCCGTCGGAAGAGGGAGAATCAACAAGGGCAGAAACCACCGAGTGCACCTTCCCGCTCGTTAGAGCAGGTCCGACGCGTCAAGCCGCTCACTTACCACATTGGTCAAGATGAAGTGCAATGATTGTCTTTGTTTACCTCGTGAACCTTCTGGAATCTGCACGTTTCTTTTTCTACGCTTTCTATCCCACCACTTCAAAATCGCCCTGTGAAAATGGCTGCTGTCCATCCTGAAGTTTTGTGGGCCCAGCGCAGCTCCGAATCGGACGAGGAGAAAGTGAAGCAGTCGACCACTGTTTGCGTAGAGCCCCACTGACGCGTCCATGCTCTCTTAGAACATCATCTATCTCACCATCAACCTGCCTGATATCCAGGAGTCCTCCCTGGAATACGCGCTCGAGCCGACGAAACTGACCTTCAAGGCCACCTCCGGAAAGTGTGTATTGAACAGCTGTTCTCCATCGCTTAGCCGCTGACGCGTTTTCAAGCACCAAGACTGGATCGGAGAAAGCATACGCCTTTGAGCTCGAGTTCTTCTCCGAAATCGTGCCTGAGGTACGCAGCGGTGCTATCACGTCCAGATCGCATCGCTAATCGGGCGACTCATTACCGATCTGTAGAAATCGTCCAAGAAGCTGTCGACGCGTTCTTTCTACCTTGTGCTCCGCAAAAAGGAGCAGAAGGCTGAGTTCTGGCCGCGCCTTACCAAGGAGAAGGTCCGGAACGCGTACTTGAAGACCGATTTCAGCAAATGGGTCGATGAGGACGAGCAGGATGGTCCCGAAGCACGCGAGGACGAGGACCTTGAGTCTGCTATGGGTGGAATGGGAATGGGCGGCGGTATGCCCGGAATGGGTGGAATGGGCGGAATGCCCGGTATGGGTGGTATGGGCGGCATGGGCGGCATGCCTGGTCTGGGTGGCATGGGCGGCATGGGCGGAATGCCGGGCATGCCAGCCGGAATGGACTTCGAAAAGGTAGCACAGCGCACCTAGCTGCCACCGAAAGCTGACGAGTGTTTCCAGATGATGGCGGAGATGGGTGCTGCGGGTGGCTCAGGTGCGGGTGCGGGTGACGAGGACGACTCAGATGATGATGGTCCTCCTCCCCTTGAGGCTGCCGAGCCATCGAAGTAGACCGCCCGCACGCAGTAGAAATTTGAATGTAACGTGTTGATCTATCGAAAGCTGTTATCTTCCCTGCTTTGAGTGCCTCACTATCCCAACGATCTGCAGAAACGAGTGGGCTTTATTTCTTCTCATTACGTCCTACGACAACGGTAATACAATATCATGACAATCATAACACAACAACAAGCTTAGGCCGAGGTGAACTGCACAAAAGCGTCAGCAAGCGCGACGACGGCGAGACACAAGAAAGGACGCACGTAGGCACAGTCATCAAGCATACCGTGCTGGGCAATCGGGACAATGGCCGGAACGTGGTTGGCAGAGGTGTTGATGGAGCAGATGCGGTAAGAACCAGCGGGGACACCGGCGGTGACGGCGGCGGTGGCAATGCCGTTGGCGTCGGCCGGGGCATCGATACCCTTGAAGAACACGAACTTGGTCGGGTCAGTCGGGGTGGTCTGGCCGAGCGCGGACAGGGCCTCAATCACGACGTGGGTGTGGCCGATGATCTGGCCCTGCGCATTCAGCTTCTGGGGCGCCATGAAGTAGGTGAACGCGGCGTTGGTGAAGACACCGGTCTGGATGTTCTTCAGCGCGAGCTGGACGTTGAATGCCTGGTTGGCGGTGACCGTGCCCTGGTTCGGCGGGAAGACGAACTTGGCGGACGGCATCTTGTCCTTGGCCGGGATCTGGCCCATCGGGATCGGGTTGCACGACCCGGTGGTCACTTGCTTTCCGTTGGTGATGGGCAGGTTCGAGATGGTCGCGGCACAGAAGTTGATGAAGTTGCTGTTGGGCGGCGTCAGAACCAACGATCGTCCCGTGTATAAAAATTCCGACGCACTTGGGGCTGGTGTCTGAGGCAGTCTGCCCGGCCACAGGCGGGTTCTGGCCATTCTGCGTGCAGTTCGTGCAGACAACGGACGGGTCGAGAGCTAAAACGCATGAATACAGGTACGGGTATCAAGTGAGTTTCATAATCGTCACTCACTGAGCGAAGCCTGGATCCCACCAGCAGCAGAGTTATCCGTGGCCGAGGTGACGGCGGGAGGAGCAGCCGCCGTTGTGGTTGCGGGAGGAGGAGGAGCAGCCGCCGTGCTAGCCGGGGGAGGGGGAGGGGCCGCCGCACCCGCCGAAGCACCCGTTGCAGCGATACGGGCATCGAAATCGGCCTGGGTGTCGCAAGTAATGGATGTTCCAGCAGAGTTGACCAGAGGAAGGGCAAAGCACCTGGAGCAATGTTGCATCAGAACGCATCATCTGGCGTAGCGCGAGACTGATCCTTACTGGGTGGTCGCGGCACAAGGCTGGAGAACGAACTTCCCGCCGACACACTGCGCGAACTGGCCCGTCACACAGGCATCTTCACCCTCCGTGCAAGGGCTGCTTGCAGTCAGGGTAGCGAACTTTGCGTTCAAGGCAATAGCAGCTTCTCCATTTGCTTTAGCATCGACGCGACGGTCGAGACGAGCAGGGCGGGCAAGGGCAGCAGATGCGAAAACAAGGGCGACGAAGGTGGAACGCATTGTTGTGAGATGAAAGGAATGTAGAGTTGGTCGAAGGAAAAGACACCAGGTCAATAGTTAGAAGAAGAAAAAAGCAGAACGATCTCGAATCGTGCAAGAAAGAAAGAGGGCAAAGGAAGGTGAACCATCGAAACGATTGCCTCAACCAGGTTTATATATGATCATTGAACCCAAAAAGGAATGAAACACCGCCGGAATGATCTGATGCAAATGATGCCAGCGGTCGCGTCCCCCAAGTGTTGGCAAGGGCAACGGCGTGCTGGCTGCTGTGCAAGATCCGTGTGCAGTAGTAGTACGTACATGAGCTGGGCGTTTCGGGTCTCGGTGCGGCAAGGGGTGATTGTTGAGACCAAAATATTCATGATACTTACACTGCTATTTCTGCCCCCATTAATCATGGATAGTGACTTCAATCCGCCCATCGACACAGCGCGCAGTCACCCTGCATGATCAGCACAGAAAGAGCCGAGCCAAGAACGTGCTCACTTGGAGAGATCGCTAACGATGTAGTCGGGAGCCACATCAGAAGCCTCGATGATTTCACGCGGTGTGGAAGTACAAACACCCAGGACCACCGCACCAGCGGCTTTCCCAGACTTGATCCCTGGGAGAGATCACGATTGATATATCACATCGGCAGCTAACTCACCGGAAATGGCATCTTCGACGACCATGCCTGGAGCAGGATGAGCGCAGGACAGGATGGAGGTGTGGCCTCACATTTCGTGGGCTCAATTCCGCATACAGCTGCCCCGGCCAGATAGGGAGCAGGATGGGGCTTTCCGTGCTCAACATCGCTGGAAGTCACAATGCCCACATTCGGCATCGGGATTCCGCAACGTGCGATAGCACGTGGAGCATAGTTTCTAGTCGCTGATTGTTGATTTCAAGTCAAGGATAACCATGTCAAGTTTCATCAGATACGAACGCACCGGAGGTCACGATGGTCCAGCCCGTTTCTTTTGCTGATGACAACTAGCCAGGGGCAGCGTCAAATTCAGATCTCGCTTCCAGTGGGAAACAGCAGATACTTGTTCAAGCAACGACAAGACGCCGGGAAGAACCACAGGCCCGCCATTGATCACCTCCTCCTCGAAACGGTCAATTTCCGCCTACGATCCAGTATCAGCGCGATGTCAGGGTCAGGCGGGTAACCCGGCGGCGCTGAGATGACGGACTTGCAGCTTAGTTTCATCATCGATCTTGCAGTATTCCTTCAGAGTGTCGTATAGACGCCGTCCATGAGTCTCGTGGACGACAGTCGCTGCGTCACCGAGATGGTAGTCTTTGCAGAATGTTCCCCAAGCGTTATACAGCCCGGGCGTAGAATCAAGCAGTGTCCTTTCAGAGTACAAGTCGGTTGCTGTGCGGCATTTGCGATCAAACTGTGGTTGACAGACCCGTCCATATCAAACCTGACAGGATTTGAGAGAGACAACTGCGACTGAGGATGCTGCGTACAAGACAGCATCGACCAGGATTGTTGTGGGGGCCATGTTCAGAGAAGTACAAGGAAGGGAACGTTCGCTCAAACAAACTATCTATCTCGGAGCCGTCCGAAAAATCGCGGCCCGGTATCGGCCCGTTGTGCCATAAGTAGCAGGACACCGGCCCTCCGTTTGCCGGGACACTGAGGACTCTCTTCTCGCTCCCTTTTTCATCAGAGATTCTCTCGATCGGCCATTGGTATTCGCTCGTCGAGCGTCAATTGCTACGCCCGCCCATTGCGTATGCATGTGGTCGAAAGACTTCTTCACCTTGCCAAGACGAGTAGAACGAACATACTTCTTCTCTCTGTCGTCCATGCGGGTCCCGGACCACATGCGTTCAGTTTCTTACCCCGTCCTTTGGATACTGGTAGGGGGTCCTGCAGCAGTCGCGTTTTGTCTTGTTATAATAGGACAGCACTTCCACTTGATGAGATCATGAGATTGGCCTCCTCATTCATCATCTTGCGCGTGGCTGCGTGTCAAGCAACGGAGGACAAGTGTCTGATTGAGCGTGCTGTGTTCTGTCAGTCGGCGCTCGTCGGCGCTCGTCGCCAGCGGATATTGCAGGCTAGCTACAGCAGCTCTGTGAAGCAACTAGCAGCAGCCAACTATCACAATCTTTGGGCTTTCGTTCACCCCGGCCGCGGCTCAATGAATCGAGAATTGAAAAAAAGTCAGGCACGATCTTAATGATGTGTCGAGTTAACAACCGACCACCCCTCGGTTACTAGGCATCGTCGGACGTCATTCCACGCAGCTATTTCGGGATTTAAGGAGAGAGATCCTCCGTTAATCTTCGGGAAAGAGGAGCATCCAAGTGCAGGCCAGCGAAAAGCAGACTCGACTCTGAAACCGGAAACGAGACTGGCATGGCGGATGGCATCTGGCGTGGACAAGCTATGAGGGTTGCTGGGCTATGCACGATGTTCCATATGCATCTTTCGGAACTATTTTTGTAACGTGCCGGCAGATATATAAGAGCCGTGGCATCCGTTCGGCATAACCTCCCCTTCACTGTTTCTCTCTACCCTCTCCTTGGTCATTTCAGGCTAGTCCTCCCTTTGAAGACACGACCCGGCGTCTTTCAACTACATCCTATCTTTACCGTTCCACTCATTCGACACCACTTTACAACAATGAAGACCGCATCCATTTTCCTCCTCGGTGCCCTCGTCGCTTCGGCAGCAGCGCGGCCCGCACACCACGGTCACCAGGGCAAGGGCTCCAAGGTATGAAGAACGACCACGGAGTCAGTTCCGGAACCCTCATACGTGTCTGCAGTCGAGCTCGGCTGTGCCCAGCGCTTCGTCGAGCGCTGTCGTGAGCGCCGCCTCCGGTGCTGCTTCGAGCGCGGCGGTTAGCGCTACCTCCAGCGCTGCTGCTGCCGCCTCGTCCGCCGCCGCCCCTCCCGCAAACAACGCTGCCGCTGTCACCGGTGCCGGAGGCCTGCAAGCCGCCACCAGTGAGTCTGAGATGAGATTGGGATCAAGTGCGATTTTGACGCATATTCACAGCCCTCGACCCCTCCGTCGTTTGCACGAGTTTCACCAACGATGGACAGAACCCTCCGGTTGCTGGCCAAACTGCGTCTTTGACCACTACCAAGTCAGTTAATCCGCTCTGACACCGCCGCCCATGCTGACCGCGAGCAGCAACTTCATCAACTTCTGTGCCCTCACCCTCCCAGGAACCCCCCTCACGAACGGTCTCCAGGTCACGACTGGATCTTGCAACCCTGCACCAATGGGTCTGATTCCCTCCGTGGACAACATGCCCTCTGCCAAGTTCGTCTTCCCCAAGAACAACGGCTCTGTGCAGGCCAACACGGCGTTCACGGCCCAGCTCGCCGTCCACAACTTCCAGACCGGTGTCTTCACCAACGCGCAGAAGACGTACTTCTCGTCCCCCCAGCGCCTGAACACGGCTGGCCAGATCATCGGACACACTCACATCGTACGCCCAAAGCGGTCTTTTAAGTACTCGCTTTGAAAACTGACGGGCACCAGGTCATCGAGGCCCTCACCGCGATTGACCAGACTGAGCCGACCGACCCGACCAAGTTCGTCTTCTTCAAGGGTGTCGACAACCCCGATGTGGGTGGCATTGCGTCTGCCGCTGTCACCGCTGGTGTCCCCGCCGGCTCCTACCGCGTGTGCTCGATCAACAGCTCGTCCAACCACCAGCCTGTGCTCGGCCCCGTTGCCCAGCACGGCTCGTTCGATGACTGCTCCTACGTGCGTCTCCCTCTCCCCTCACGCGACTGAGTGACTGACCGCCCGCTGCAGTTCACTGCTGCTTAAATTGTCGAATGCTTTTGATAGCGTATGTATCACGTCTTCGCTGTACTCTGCTAGCTAGAGTCCTTTTTCATGAAATGCATTCTCTGGAGAGACATAGAGAGACATCGTGAGGCGGTGCAGGATCTGCCCAGTCGCATCATGTGAGCGCACGCACAATTATCGACAAGTTTGTCGAAAACCACGCTGGTTCCTGCGATGGCATGCCCGTCCTGCCGTCGCCGGGGAATCTCTTTCCTCTTCTCAAGGCCCGAAAGCGCCCAGGCGATGAAGAGGTGGTTTTGCGTGTCAGAGATACATGGTGTGGCGTGTTTTGGGACCGTGTTCCAGGACAGAGGACGACACCAGATATACTGTTCCCTGCTGTTGTAGTTAGACATCCTATGTTTTTTCTATCCTCTGTTCCATCGGTGCTGTCCTACATCTCTTCTTGGTGTCCGGAAAGAGTGGCAGTGCCTGATCTTTCTGGAGTATCTCTTGCTTTCCTCATACGCAGTCGCATCAGCTTCGACTTTTGGAAGCCGATCCTTGCAAATGGACAATCGCAGAAGCGATTCTTTTTGACAAAATCACATTCACATCCTACATTCATTTCAATTTTAATCGTCTGGTCAAAGTCTAGGTCGTGTTCCAGGTACAGATCGTAGTGGTCATATTGCAATATGAATTGAAAGACGGCCTATTCACTTCCACCATGGCATCCACCCATGTCGCCATAATCGGCGCCGGCCTCGGCGGCCTCACCCTCGCGCGCATCCTGCAGGTGCGCAACCCCACCCACCTCACCTTCACGCTCTACGAGGCGGACGCAGACGCAGCCGCCCGCGCCTCCGCCGGCGGCTCGCTCGACCTCAAGTACGAGAGCGGGCAGCGCGCGATGAAGGACGCCGGGCTGCACGCCGCGTTCCTCGCGCTCTGCCGCCCCGTCGGGGACCAGATGCGCGTGCTCGATCGCGCGGGGCGGGTGCTGCTCGACGAGGCGGGCCCCGGGGCGGAGTACTACAACCCCGAGATCGACCGCGCGCAGCTGCGCGCGCTGGTCCTCGACTCACTGCTCCCCGGGACGGTCCGATGGGGCCACAAGGCAGTCGCGGTGCGGCGGAACGCGGGGGCGGAGGGCAAGTACGCGATCGAGTTCGCGGACGGCAGCGTCACGGAAGGTGTCGACATCGTCGTGGGGGCCGACGGCGCGTGGTCGCGTGTGCGCACGCTCGTGTGGCCCGGCGCGGAGCCCGTCTACAGCGGCATCACGTTCCTCGAGACGAAGATCGACGTGCGCAAGCACGCGCAGCTGCAGCCGCTGGTTGGCGGGGGCGCGCTGTTTGCGCTTTCGCAGGGCAAGGGTCTGATCGCACAGCACAACTCGAACGGCGTGCTGATGCTCTACTCTGCGCTGCGTGTCCCGGAGGAGTGGTCCAGGACATCTGCTGTTGCGTTGGCGGACGGCGACGCGGCGAAACTCGAATTGATGTTGCAGGAGTTTGCGGGCTGGGAAGAGTCGTTGCGCGAGCTGGTTCGGGTTGGGACTGATGCGACGATGCGACCCATCTATGCGTTGCCCACTGACTCGGTACCTCGCCCTCGCGGAGAGATAAACAACATCGTTCTCTTGGGCGATGCCGCTCATCTGATGAGTCCATTCGCTGGAGAGGGCGTCAACCTGGCCATGGCGGACGCGGCTGATCTGGCCAAAGCGCTGATGGAGCACAAGCCTGGAATGACTGACCTTGGGGGTCCGCTCGGCGGTTATGAGAGGACTATGCGCACCCGAGGAAACTCCGCCGGCAAAGAGTCTGCGGCCAATCTGGAGATATTCTTCGGAGAGAATGCCGCAGCTGATGTGGCAAAATTGTTCAAAAGTTTCATACCGGACAGCATGAAGGGAGTGGCCAACTCTTTGGTCAAGTCGTACTTTTACTTGCGGTCTCTGTTCGATTGAGTGCGTTCAGAGTTATTATAAAACACGTTGATAATGTATTATCAAAACCGTTTTCTCCTCAGGCCAGCTGCAGTCAAATATTCTGTGATGTTCACGAGGGCTTTCCAATTACAGCATCTTACTGCAGTCCCTCTCAAGGAAAGTTTTCTACGATCCTGGACTGCAAATCAGCCCCCGTACGGCTTGACTTAGCTAAGTTGACAAATGAGAAGCATCCTCTCATTCTCACACTGAGCTGTCCTATGCGTTCGACTCTGACCAGATTTACGATACAACATTAACGATGCAAGTGGCATGTTAGCATCACCGCACATACTTGACGATCGCAAGACGCTCTCTGTTACTGCTCTCAAGGCTTCGCCTTGATATTGCTCACAATCAAGTCCTACGAACAAACCATCAGCTTTTCCACCGCGCGACACGCCCGATGCCGACGCACCTTGTAACTCTGCACATCGCCTCTGAACTTGCTGACCGTGCCATTGCCGCAAACCCAGAGCTTGGAGCCACAGAATATCAGACCCGCTCGTTACTGCTGCAACCTCGAGGACCCAACTCACCTCGTGCGCGACTTTGGTGATGAAACGCTCGTCGTGGGAGATGATGATCACGCCGCCGTTCCAGACCTGCAGAGCGCTCATGAGGGCATCCAAACCCTGTCACATATGCGTCAGATATGGATGGCCCCAGGGTCCCTGGAGACAGTCTTACCTCAATATCGAGGTGATTGGTAGGCTAGATTAAATCAGCGTCATTGACGTGCATACTGCCGGAGAATTCACACACCTCATCGAGAAGCAACACGTGCGGCTGCTGCAGCGAAAGCAGCGCAAATGCAACACGCGACTTTTGTCCACCACTGAGCGTCGCAATCAATTGCAAACTACATCATGTGAGCAGGCGCGATTGCGAGAGAGAAAAGCCCAAACAACAGCGCACCCTGTCATACCACTGATCTGGAAGTTGCCCAGATGCTGCCGGTACTCCTGTTCCGTCCTGCCCGGGAACCTGGACGCGAGGAACTGCACAGGCGACATCGTGGGCACGAGGGAGTCGACGTGATGCTGTGCAAAGTATCCGCTGCATAGTGTCAGAGAGGCAGTCGTATGATTGATGCATTGAGGGGGCGTACATCCGCAACCGGCCATTCCGGGTGACATGACCGGCCATGGGATTCAATTCTCCAGTCAGAATCTTGATGCTGATTGGAGCATGAGAGACGATTGAACAACCCACAGAACCGATACACTCACAGCGTAGATTTTCCCGCTCCGTTGGCTCCGACGATAGCTATGCGGGAGTCGAGGCCAACATCGATGTTGACGTGTTTGAGGATGATTCTCTCTGGTGTGTACCCGAATGTGACTTCGTTCATCTGCAGCAATGGTGGAGAGATTTTCTCCGTCTCGGGGAACCTGTCCCCTGTCAACTCGGCAGGAGGTGATCGGTCAGTCGACTCACTTGAAGCTTTCTGTCTCATCTTCTTCCGGCGGCTCCAGTTCGGGCAACTGTTGAGATTTCACGATGATGTTCCCAGCATTAGCAACAACGACGGGCAAGCAACGCACCTTCTCCAAGATCTTGATTTTGGACTGGGCCTGGGCAGCCCGGTTGGCATTGTATCGCCACCTGTCGATGAAAGCCTGCAAGTGTCTCCGGTATTCCATCTGTGTGTCATACTCCTTGCGCAAATTCTTGTCTCGCTCAGACTTGGTCGAGTAGAACTGCGTAAAGTTTCTGCACACAGGTGAGATACCAGCGCAGTTGTGACCGCGTGCCATTACCCTTTGTAGTAATCCAGCCGAGAGGAATGTTGATGCACGATATCCGTCGCCACTGCGTCGAGAAAGGCGCGATCGTGAGATCTGGAATGACATCAGGTCTCTGACAGTCGCCGCGTCTGAGACTCACACTACGAGAATTGTGCCAGGCCAGGTTTGTAGGTAATCTTCGAGCCAAGCCAAAGCATTCAAGTCAACTGCTGTGTGTCAGCAAGACGTTTCCCGCTCATATCAGCTGACTAACTGTGATTGGAAGGCTCGTCGAGAAGCAACAGCGAAGGCTAAATGACGATGAGCAAGCGGTCCTCAAGGCTGACCATCAATCTGCGGCGTACTTTCACAAACAGCGCTCGGGCCAACGCCAGCCGCATTCTGATATCAACTGAGAAGCTGGCGGCGGCAACAGAGTGAGTAGACGCTCACCGCCAACCGCCACTGAATGATTTCGTTGGACGTTGCTGATCGGCTTCGTCGAATCCGAGACCTGACAGATATCTCAGCGCCGCATCAGCCCTGCGCGGCGACTGAATTTACCGGCCAGTAGCGCTGCAGCTCTTGCCGGCCCACTCTCGGCGTCCATATCGGACAATCGGGCATGCACATCTGCTAACCGCGAAGAGGCCTCCTCTCTCGCATCTACAAACCGTTTGTCATCACCCTCTGCTTCGAGCTCGGTCAGCCGGGCGTTGAGCGACGCCTCTTCCTTCAGCAAGTGGTCGCGCCACACATCGGCCTTGAGCACGGACTCGATGACAGTCGTGTCGTCGCCAATAACCTGGCATTCGGCTCAGCACGCGAGAAGCACAGCGGCGGTGTCCCGTTACCTCTTGTTCGACAAACAGAATGCTGATGTGGGCAGGAATGGGGACCTCCCGCATTGCGATGTGTCGCAGTAGCGTGGATTTACCCACACCTGAAATCAAAGATTGAGCATGGTGAATTGGCTTCTGCCGCGAGAACAAAAACAGACCGTTTCTCCCGATTAGCCCGTATCTGCGACCGTAGGCCAATGTCAGGGATGCACTCGAGCTGATGTCATCAGAAGAGAGGCGTAATTCGAGTGGCGAGTCACACACAGAATACGGTTGGAGCCAAAGTTGACGTCGATAGAGGGTAGGTGGACATCCTTGCTCTTGTTTCTTGACGCGCCGCTTTCCAGTGGATTGATCTACAGGGCTTTAGTATATCGTCGGGGGTCGGTGCCGAGAATACACGAGGTACCTTCATGAACAATTCCTCGTATGTTTGCTAGCAACGAGCCGTTAAGAGATGCACTTGCAATATTACAAGCACGGCACCTGTTTTCGGTGAGAATCAAGCAGCTTAGAGCCTTCGTACAAGTCCCGCCGAGATCGTTTCTCAATCTTGGCCTGGAGAGGATGTGAATGACTGGACCAGACGGAAATCGAGCAATGAGCACCCGAAGCTTGGCCTCTTGCTTTTCAAGTTTCTTGACGTCGACTTTGGATGCTCTGCATCTCGCGAGTGAAGATGGGTCTTGAGAGTCAAGCAAGCATGTACGCACTTTCCCTTGTTGATGGACTCCAGATCAACACCCTCCGTAAAGGCAAGCGTGTTGGACATCGTGCCCTTGCTCATATCCAGGACGTGCTCGAGCTTATGCAGCTTCGGCCCCGCCTGCCTCTCCATCCGTTCTCGCAGTGTGCCCTCCAGCATCGAGGCCAGGCGCAACATGAGCTTTTCGAGGACATCGTCGCGGCCCCCGGCAACAGACGACAGTATTTGGTGCGCGACTTGCAGGACGTCCTCTTCTTCGCCGGCATCGTCGACGAGATATCCCGCTAGATATTGCACAATGACCTCTTCCGTCCCTGGAAAACTCTCGCGGATCTCTTCAGCGATATCCGCAGACGACATGGTGGGCAAAGAGGCTGGAACCGAGCGGGGATGTGAATAAAGTCGAAGGTGTTCGTTTTGAGCACCCTAGTGAGACCAGGGTCGCGAGTACGATTGGCAATGCCTGGATTCAGATTTCGGAAGCGCGTTTCTGCTCACGTGACTGTATCAAATTACTTCGTGATGTTGATGCCATCTTCACTGATGATATCACGGATGTGGGCAGTGCAGCTGATAGCAGAGACACGGTTGTCACCGTCATCACTGGAGATGGGTTTCGTCTTTGCGACCTTGTGATTGCAATTTCTTCACATGCCAGGGTCGGACTCGCTGCACTTAACGTCGTGACTAGACCCGCACTTTCATCCGAAATGCTCATCCCCTGGCTTGCGGCCGTCCTGTCCTTACCGGTATCTCTTCTGGTGTCTGCCTCCACCGTCAGTGCGTTGCCCTCTGTCCGAATAGCTCGGGATCGGACGACTCTGATGGGCGCTCCCAGTCGTCGATGATGAGTTGGGCGATGTCACCACGGGAGAGAAGATCGTCTATGCCCCTCCTGCCGCCTGGATTTCCGGCGGAATCGCGAACTGCGGGTCGATCTGTTCGTCTGTTGATTCAAGCCTGGCGGCCCTGGCCTACAGGAATACTTTCCACGGCTCGCTTTTCGTGCGTATCCGGTCTGTCTCCGCACTTTCATTCTCCCTCATGCGTGCAGATCCCTTTCAATCAGAAAAAGACGCTGTCTCCCCCTTCTGCCACCTTCCATTTCGTTGGTCTGCTTGGGTTTTCTCGGTCTAGTCACCAGCGGCTCATAATTCTCCCAGGCGTCTCGGTGAAGGTGATCTGCATCTTGGGCAATACATTAACAGATCCGGTGTACGCCAATGGGTTTATGCACTGGTGATCTGTATTGATTTTCTGCACCAGGGGCACGGCCAACATGACGTTCAGCATCGACGGCTCTGAAGTCGGAAATTTCTTTCACCAAGCGCTTCTTGACCCGCCGTTTGAACCGAACGTGACCGTATTCGCTTCTGGGCTATTGGACAATAGGAATCATACGCTCTTGATACAAAATGGTCTGATTGGCGGTCCGTCATCTCTCATGGTACTTGATTCGATCTCCTATGAAACGTGAGCGCTCCGTCCGAAGCTCTTTTGTGCGGAACGCTCATCATTCGGACTGATTGCAGCATGCCCCCATCTCTTCCCGAAAGCCTGGCATCAGACTCTGGCACTCCGAGCGCGTCTTTGTCGCTGCCTTCAGCCACTGCGACGCCGTCTACGCCTGCGAGTGTGGGCTCGAATATCGCCAAGTCACCGAACCACAACGTCGCGATTGTCACCGGAATCGTCGTCGCGCTTGCTGTGATTCTTCTTATCGCCCTCGTCTTGCTCTTCCTCCGGCAGAGACGGAAGGAGGATAGCTCGGATCGCGGCGTCATGTCCAAGTTCCTGGCGTCTTTCTCGTCGCACAGCAAGCAGGCCCCTGATATAGCGCCAGTGCCGTTCCCTACACCCGTGATTCCTGCCCAGCCGTTGGCTGAGGGCGAGCGGACCCGGAGACCGCGTCCTCGACCTCGGCTCGCACCGGTTTTATCAACAGCATCAACACCCTCCCTTCGATCGAGAATCTCACACATCTCATTCAACGCGAATCTGCTCGTCGGTCGTCGAAGACCTCCGCCCCCTGCTGCTGCTCCTGCCAGGCATAGAACAATGCAGTCCATACCGAGTCCCATTCCGCATGAGCGCGTCGTTTCCATCCAGCAGTGGCAGCGACGCACGCAGGAGGAGACCGCCGGCCAAAATGTTGTCCATCCGATGGACATGTCCGAAGTCGATTTATCAACTCATTATGATGAGAGCTCTGCTACTTCTCCGCCGCCTCCTGCGCAGACAGGCCAGCCGCCTGTCCGCCGGTTTACGGTTATGAATAATTGAGCTTCATTCTCGATACCAATGTACTTTTAGCGCCGGACCTCCCGCGTAGAGTCAGTCACTCGGCCCCAACGGCTGAGTGCTTGCTATTAGACCGTCTTTTTCGCAAGGAAGTAATACGGCGTTCGACCGATACCGAGGAACCATGCAGCTCTAATGCGGATGTCATCGTGTTGCAGTCCGACATGCTGAGTACTCACCTGACAGAGAACAGGACGATCACAAACGATATGTTGCCATGCGTCATTGGGTTCCAAGCTAGCGGTGCGTACCGCAAGTACGCGGGCAGGCCTATGAAGGTGGCTGCAATGCTGCAATCACGCTGATTGAGAGTCACGAAACGAATGAAACCGAAGCGACTTACTGTGTGAGCTAGGAAACGGCGGGCACGTCAGATGAGAGGCGTGGGTGAGCGCATGGATGCAACGCACATCAGCTATGGCCAGCGCAGCAAGCAGGGAGCCCACAATCCGCTCTTGAGAGACCGGGTCGCGGGGCAGCGCGTCGCGTGCCGCCCGGAACACAAGCGACGAGATAAGGCCGAGCAAGAGGTAACCTGCGCACGCGTGAGCCAACGAACACGAATCCAACGGAAGCCCGGCCTCACAGTTGGCGAGCTGATACACGATCATCTGCGTCCGCGCCGCGAGGGGCGTGCTGGGAACCGCGGCTGGAGACGGAATGAGCTGGTGGTGGAACCACGCGGCGCCTGGGAAGATCCACGCCATGAGCGCGGGTATCATGGTAGATGCTTAGAATTTCGCAGTCAGATGAGAGCGGGTTTCTGCTGCGCGCGGAGCTGACTAGGTTCAATGTAGAGGAACAGTAGCTGGTAGAAGCCTTGCAGGGCAGGGAACGAGGCGGATTGACGGGTGTGAGACGGGTCTGCCATGTTTGGGGGTCGTGCTGGTAAAAGAGATTGATTTTGGTTGCGTTTGGGCAGTGAGACTGCTTTCAGGCGCGAGACAAGACGTGCGTCGTGGTTGACCAGGCGATGCCTATATTAATGAACGTCATCATCATTGGATCAGCAATTCGATGATAAGATAATTTGGGATATTCAATCTCAGGCACGTGACAACTATCTCTTCGCGCCCTTGACTCGACTTGGATATCGACCCAAACGCGAGAAACGGAGTACGTGAATGCTTTGAATCTGCTCAGAGTGCACGCAACACGATCACACCGAATAACTGTAGCAACGATCACGAATTATACAGCATCTTTGCTTCGAGGAACACGTCGCCGACACGACTGCCCACGTCCCAACTCCTACCAGCTCTTGGCGAAGACATCCTCATAAATCCGTGCTCGTCTGCGATACTCAACTGAATATTCATCTGATGTCTCCCCCGCCGCCTCTCCTCACCGTCACCGGGGACACAGGGAGCCCAGGATCCTCCGTCTTCGATCTGCCGACACAAAACGCGCCTCCCCCACATCGACACTCTACCACGACTATGCCATCCTCACGCACTCTCGAAGACGCAACACCGGCCGAGAATGCCTTGGCATACGTGGTCATATCCGGAGGAACAGGCGGCAATGCGATCTGTTCGGCATTCGGCTCGAGCGCCTGCTATGTGCTGCCAGTGTCCGACGACGGCGGTTCTTCATCCGAAATCATCCGTGTCCTGGGCGGACCGTCGGTCGGTGCGAGTCCTCGGATTACACGGCCGTGTGTGTTGACTGCACGCTCACTAGATCGGGGATATACGATCGCGCCTGGTGCGTCTGATTCCGAATGACAGCCCCAGCTCTCCGCTGCATGCGATCCGGACTCTGCTCGCATACCGACTGCCCGCGCACTACTCTGAGCGCGAGGCGCGGGAGGAATGGAGAGACATCATTGAGGGTCGCAGTCCACTGTGGAATGGGATTCCTATTGATCGCAAGGAGACCATCCGGGGCTTCTTGGTGCACTTTGAAAGCGAGCTTCTGAAGCGGGCGCACAAGAACTTTACCTTTGTGAATGGCAGGTGCGACTTGTCTGCTGTCGAAGCCGCAGACTGTTCACTACCTTGGTAGTATCGGGAACTACTTCCTCGCTGCGGCACAGGGATTCTTTCGTTCCCTGCCTGCTTCTATCTTCCTTTTCTCCTCGATAACGAACAGTCAAGCCAACATTCTACCGGTCATAGTGACCAATCACACCGTCACCATTGCCGCTGAATTGGTTCGGGACGCTTCGATTTCTGTGCTCTTTCTCAACCTTTGGTGCAGGAGAACAGCGAGAGGCTTGTGGGGCAATGCGAGATCTCACATCCTGTCGTATCGAACCAGGAGCGTGGGCCCGGTTCGGATCCCATGTCTCCTATGGATGGAATGGCGGAAGTTGTCTCCCAGGGACGGAATGTCATGTTCGAGCAAAACGACAAGCACGACTATCAGCCACTCGCCTCGCGCATCGCACGTGGGGTTGTTTCCCGCGCTCTGAAGTGCAATCCTCTGAGCTGATCCCTTCAGGTCTCTACTACATGAACGCGTATGGTTTTGAGATACATCCGACGCCTAATCCCGATTACCTCTCCGCTCTTGCGACGAAGGACGTCCTCGTGTATTCTTGCGGCTCTCTGTGGACGAGGTGGGCCATCAGATCGCTCTGAAGACTTTGCTCACCAGTGCCGCAGTATTATTCCCTGTCTAGCACTCCGAGGCGTCTCAGCCGCGATTGCCAGGTCGCGCACTCTGCGAGCCAAAGTTCTCCTGCGTGAGATCTCTATTTCGAATGCCGGCGCCCGACATCCTGAACTTCTCTCCAGTCAACGCAAAGAACGATCGTGAGACCGAGGGCTACTCAGCTGTGGACTACATCACGTAAGCACCACGAGGCCACCGTCCGCAGGTTATCGATATTTCCACAGGTCGATAGCGAGGACCTTGAATTCCCATTACGGTCCTCCGTCATATGGGCTTGCGTTTGGGAGCAGCACCACGTTCCCCGTGTCGTAAGTCGCCGTGCCAGCTAGAAAGCTTCTCGATCTTACCGATCATTTCAGAGCATTCATTACAGATCTTGTGTTTCTGAAAGGAACCCAAGTGTTCGTTGACCGAAAGACGATCTCGGTATGTCAGACATCACAGACATGTTCGTAACAACTGTGCTGACCTCCACCAAAGGCGATGGGCGTGAGATGCATAGAGGTAGAGGGGTCCGGAGATAATGTGTTTGACACTGTCACCGTCAGAGAGGCTCTTGACGAGGTCGTCCGGATGGAGAGATGAGCGACTTGCAGTCTCTTGCAGTTGGGCAATCTCAACCGATTGTCGTGTGACGTTCCCCCGGCAATCAATTTCCCCGCGGCGGATCGCAGAGCCGATTTTACTCCGATCTGCCATGAGCCTGGATTACGGACGGTCATGCATCATAGTAATACTCCAACGCGTCGTCGGCAAACAGCATCTCTTCTTCGTTTGCACTACGTGAATGCTTAAACGCTCTGGACGCTGTCTCTCTGCATCGAAACATATCATTTAACGTCCCCCTATTGAACCAGAAATTCGCATACAACAACTCCCATGGCGGATGTACTACAGTTGGCAGGAGTGCCCACGACTCGAGAACAGAGCAGAGATTTGAAAACAGTACGAGCGGACCTGAGTGAGCACCCCTATCCATCATAGGGCATCAGCCAGCGTCAATGCCCTTTTCTCTCCAGCACATGAGGTCATGAACGGTACTTCTCCAAAAGACGACAAGGGAGACGACCAAGTCATTGTCGTTCGTCCGGATCCAGTTTACGAACCCGTCCTCCCGAACGACCACGACACCGACGACGATATTTCCATCCAGATCGAAGAGCCCACGGAAGCAGAGGCGTCGCTTACGGGCAGCGTTCTCCTCCCCTCAGATCCCCAAGCTCCGTGCTCAGCTCCCGATGGGGCTGAAGATGAAACCAACCAGCCAGGCCAGCGGCGGACATTAGTCCGCTTCCGATCTCGCGTGCGCATCACCTCTGGCATGCACCGTCACTCCCGCACGGCCCACCGCCACTTCTCATCGTCCTCGTCGTCCTCATTAGCGCCTTCCTCGCGTGCCAGTTCGCCGTCGTCGTCTATCTCCGCACCGCTCCGGCCTACGCCTACCCCCGAGACGTCGTCTCCCGGATGGGGAACACTCGGGACTCGGGTTAGCCTTTTCGCCCGTGCGAGGCGGAAACTCGCGCCAGGGGAGACGACGGGCGTGGGACGCGGAGAGGGGGAACCGCTCCTGGCTGATGGGGCACCCCCGTCGTATTCGTCCACCCGGGGCAGGAGGAACAGCGACGAGTCCGATAGGTCAAGTCAGGAAGATGATGAGGCGACCTTGTCCCGCCAGATTGATTTGATGTTTGGAAAGTGGCCGTGGAGATTGTTGAACGCGCATGTGAGTGGCACCAAGCGCGCCGAGTTGCTGGTATATTCTGATCTCTGTGACGCAGTGGTGGTGGTGGCAGTTGGAGCCAATAGTGTGTTGCGGCTGCTTGGACGAAGAATACGACTAGCAGCTCCAGTCGCCTGGATCTCTTTCTCATTTGGGAATCATCACGTAGTGGTACATACTCCAGGGCCGTCGATCTTATACCCTTTGTTCGGTTTGCATACGGTAATAATCGCCTGTGCTCCTCTCTATCTTCGTCAAGTAGGACCACGTATCGGTCAAAGCTGGGCCACACAGAGCAGCACCAATCTCATTCGTACTATTCCTAATCTGCATCTGTCACTGATGTGACATTTCGCGTCTCGCCTCTCCCCCTCGCCTCGCCTGGCCCCAGCACGCCACTAACTAGCATCCTTCAGTGCGAGAGAAACGACTCTCCTTCAGGGGCTTTTCTAAGCCGACTCGCGTTCCCTCAAGTCGACCATCTCATAAACCAATCCTTCGCCCGAGCATGTCAACCGCCAAGGCTCGCACTGCATACGCCAAAGCCATCCTCGGCCCCGAACTGCACAGTAAGCTCGGAGAAACTAAAGTGCTCGTAGTCGGCGCGGGAGGAATTGGATGCGAGCTGTGTCAGTACTGCCGCACACGGGTCTCCGCCGCCCTGGATCACTCACACACGCCCAGTGAAAAACATCGTGCTGACGGGGTTCGGAAAGATCACGCTGCTGGACCTCGATACGATCGACCTCTCCAATCTGAACCGGCAGTTTCTGTTTCGCAAGAAGGACGTGAAGCAGAGCAAAGCTTTGGTGGGTATCACGATGTTTTGGGCGCTTAAGTTGGGGCCTGGCTCTCCCTCTTGGTGAACCGCGGAGATGCTTGGTCCTTTGAAGACTAAATGTGCTCATGCGTCCCAGTCTTCACCGATTCTTCTGCTCTAAACCCGCGAGAACACCCGCTCAACTCCGTGCCAGGTTGCCGCTCAAACAGCTGCCCCGTTCAACCCTAACGTGCAAATCACACCTATCTACGGCAACATCAAGGAACAGCAATACGACATTGAGTGGTTCTCGCAGTTCGACATCGTGCTCAATGCACTGGACAACCTCGGTAGCGCTCTCCGTTTCCGTGATGAGCCGTTTCTTATCGTTGCTCAGATGCTAGACGACATGTGAATAAGATGTGCATCGCGGCTCAGATTCCTTTAGTGGAAAGTGGGACAGCCGGCTATCTTGGCCAAGTCCAGCCCATCTTGAAGGTGTGTAGAGTAGTGACACTTTCTAAAGCAATCACTGAATTGGATCAGAATACGACTGAATGCTTCGACTGTATACCCAAGCCTACACCAAAGACCTTTCCTGTATGCACTATCCGCTCGACACCTAGTCAGCCGATCCATTGTATTGTTTGGAGCAAGAGCTATCTCATGGGGTTTGTCCTTTGTTGCCATGCAATCCGTCCTTGACATTATTCCAGACAACTGTTTGGTGAAGACGAAGATGCCGTCGGGGAACTGGATGACGCAGAAAAACAAGGCGAAAACGGTCAGTGATATTTGACCTTTCGCCATGCGTCTCGTCCAACACAGATACAGCCCAAGAGATTGCCACCCTGCGTCGTGAGGCTCAAGCGTTCACGGCTGTGCGCGAGGCTTTGCGCTCGCCGGCATCTCATACTGCTGCGAAAGACGTGTTCAACAAGGTCTTCAATGCGGACATCAAAAACTTGTTGATTATGAAGGACATGTGGCGGTCGCGTGCGCCGCCAGTTCCCCTGGACTTCGATGCGATCGTAGACGGGTCGTTCGTGCTTCGTGAGGTGTCATCCACTGCCGTGTCGTCCGCCCCAGCTCCTTCTATGACAGTCAAAGATCAGAAGCAGCTTTCCTTGAGAGATAATGTGATGCTCTTCGCTTCCAGGTGTGTTCCTTGGTAGGATACACATGGGTCCCACACTGAGCATTGTCATAACAGCGTCGAAAGGCTATCCAAGCGTTTACAAGCAGGGGAAGCAACGATAGCGTTCGACAAGGATGACGATGACGCGCTCGATTTCGTGACTGCCACCTCGAATCTCAGGTCTGCGGCATACGGTATCACAGGGAAGACGCGTTGGGAGGTCAAAGGTCGGACTCCCACCTCGTTCTTATGGTGATTTATGAGGCTTATGAATGACCAGAGATGGCGGGCAACATCATCCCTGCGATCGCGACGACCAACGCAATCGTATCCGGGCTGATCGTGTTGCAGGCACTCAAAATTCTGCGCCGGTCGTACGACAAACTGCGGAACGTGCATTTGCAAGTGAAGCCGTCTGTGCCGCTCAGCACGATCAACCTGTGCCCACCAAATCCGTCGTGTGGGATCTGCGGTGACACCTACACGCAGGTGTTGTGCGATCCGCGGCGGGCGCTGTTGGGCGACATCGTCAAGGGCGTGATGGGAGGCGACAGCCGAGACGTGAGCGTTTACGAGGACAAACGCGTCCTCAGCGATCCTGATTGGGAAGACAATCTGGATCGCACGCTGGCGAGCCTGAATGTGGCGAGAGGGATGTTCCTGAGCATCGTCGATGACGAGGGAGAGCTTGCTACGATTTCCGTCGCGTTGGGTGTCTTGCCGTGCGTCGTCCCTACACTCGTCTTTCTGACATCCAAGTTGACTGACCGCAGGGCTGACCATCCTCGGGATCTGCCGCCGTTCATCTTACCTGATCCCTTGCCATCACCGCCTGTCAAAGTGAAAGTTGCCCCGCCGATGCCCATGACACCGATCAAAGTACCCCAAAAACGAGCTGCACCAGACGACGAAGGCTTTGATGACGTCATTGATCTCGCGCCGACACCGAAACGGGCCAGGATTGCTGATGTCAAGAGCCCGAGTAAGAAACGGAAACTGGACGAGGATGGGCTGATACTCATGGAGAGACACGACGATCATCTGGAGGACGACATTATTGTCATTGATTGAGATCGTTGGGAAGATTTTGTCATTAGGAGTGCTTGTCCTGGCGGTGGCGCAGAACTGTGATGCTGACCAGGATGCATGTTCGTGGGGATGATGATGGTTGTCTGTTGATCTGAAATGCAGTAATCTTATCTGTCTGATTAGCATCGATCGCATTTGCTTCACCATCCACTACGATGGTCAGCTCCCTCCCACCAGAGCTATGTGATTCGATAATCGAAATTGTGCTGGACGAAACTACCCTGAAGTCATGCTCCCTGGTGTCTAAATCCTGGGTAGGTCGCAGTCAGCGCAGCATCTTCCGGAGGCTGCGCATCCCTCCAGCGGGACAATCTGTGACACCCGCAACGACAATCCAAATCCAACGGGCGGTCGAAGCACTCAACACCTACCCCCACCTGCTGCCGCTCGTTCGGGAACTGTCAGTCGCGATCCCAAGAAATGGCGCGGGGCAGATCGCTCTAGGGAACCTCGTCGTTCTGGTCGCCCCGCGCCTTGAGCGGCTCGAGCTCGACGGATGCGTCAACTCGTGGCCGCGCATTGTACCTGATCTGCGAGACGTCCTGCTCGCGACGATGAGTGCACCGCGCGTGGACCGAGTGTATCTCACGCGACTGGCGTCCTTCCCGGTTTCTGCGATACACGACATCCTGCATACGAGCCGCGCGGTTGCACTGACGGACGTTGTGGTCAGGGACGACGGGAGCACCCCCATGAAGCTGGTGATGCAGCAGCCCCCGCCGCTTCGGTACCTCCATCTCCCCTGGTTCACTATCCGGCCCATCCTTCTCGCAGCGCTGCCGCATGGCCCCAGGACGTACTCCCTGTTGGAGTTTCTGCGCGTCGAGCGCTATGACGGGCATTATCGGCCGATCCTGCAGGCAGCAGCCACCACGCTGGTCACACTGGAACTTACCAGCTCTGGTACGTCGACTCTCATTAGCTTAGCTAGTGCTCTTCGAGAACTACAAGTACACGACTGACGTATGCCTCCTCAGATGGTGTAGTCGACTGGGAGTTTCCCCTCCTCCCCGCACTCCAGACTCTCGATCTTTCTTTTGCGGCGAAGAACGTGGACTCGCTGTGCATCACACTGCCTCCGTCGGTGTTGTCCTGCATCTCTCGGCTGCCCAGCTTCGCACCTGTGGTCGAACGCCTCGTGCTCCGCGTAACGGTCCAGATCTTCGTCGTGCGGCCGCTTAAGTGGGTCGACCCCGAGGCTCGAAGCATGCTTTCCCAGCCCGTCATCGTTGAGCCCTTCGGAGATTCGGGATACGGGGATGCGTTGCCGTGCTTCCGAGAGATGGAGGTCACGATGGCTTACGGAGATCCGATGAGGACATTGGAAAACATGCCTGCCGAGTATGCGGCCCCCGTGCTGAGCACGTTTCGAGCATGCGAGCAGTATATGGGCGATAAATTTCCCGGCCTGAAGAGTGCTGGAGGTCTGCGCGTCAGAGGAGAGGATGTCTGGCGACGCCTCCAGTCCAGAGGTTCATTTTCTGGAGTAGACTATCTTCCATAAAAGGCTGTTCTACCACAGAATGATAAGAGAGAGAGAGAGAGAGAGAGAAAGGAACGGATCCATCCCGATAGCATTGCTCAGTTTATGGCTCATGGTACATCATCCGGCTCTAAAAACACAAAGGTATACAAAGTCTCTTGCAGCCAGCGATGCTCAATACTCTACTTGCCACCCTTCTTGGCGGCTTTCGCTGCCTTCGCTGCGGCCTTAGCAGCCGCAGCCTGGGCCTTCTGGGCGGCTTGGGCTTGCTTTGCGGCGGCCTTTGCGGCGGCTTGGGCGGCCTTGGAGTTGGCGGCGGCAGTGGTCGCAGCAGCGGCAGCGGCAGTGTTCGTGGCAGCGGCAGCACCTGCAGCACCGTTACCTGCAGCGGCGGCAGCGGCAGCGGCGGCAGCAGCAGCAGCAGCGCCACCGGCAGCAGCACCGGCACCAGCGTTGTTTCCAGCAGCAGCAGCACCTCCGGCAGCAGCAGCACCACCGGCAGCAGCAGCACCTCCAGCAGTAACCGTGAACTGGAAGTGAATGAGCAATTGATATAAGTGCACATACAACACACTCACGTAAACAACATCATCGACGATTCCGTGCTGAGCAACGGGCATCAGCACAGGCTGGTGAGTCGACGCGCCGAGGATGGTGCCCATGCGGTAAGTTCCGGGTGCGAGGCCAGCGGTGACGTCGACGGAGACTTGTCCCTGTCCGTCAACACCGCCGTCGATACCCTTAAAGAACGCAAACTTGGTCGGGTCGGTCGGGGTCGTGGACGTGAGCGACTGGATCGCCTCAATGACGACGTGCTGGTGGCCGACGATCTGGCCGTTGGCGTCCAGGGCTTGCGGGTTCGCGTAGTAGGTCTTCTGCGCGTTGGTGAAGCTGCCCAGCTTCATGTTCTTCATTGCCAGTGTCACCGTGAACGCCGTGTTAGCAGCGATCGTGTCCAAGTTCGCCGGAGAGACTGTGCCGCACGTCAGACACCGACCCTGCACTAGTGCACTGTTTCATGATGCGTACCGAACTTGGTCGACGGCATGTTTGCAGTCGAGGGGACATCACCCATGGTCACAGGGAGACATGCGCCACCCGTGATCTGCTGACCGTTGTTGATGGTCTTGCCGACACAGTTGTTGATGAAGTTGTTGACGTTGGGGATGGCGGCAGCTTGGCCAGCGACAGGGGGGTTTTGACCGTTATCGGTGGTCTGGATGATGGAGGGGTCGAGCGTGAAAGAAGCCTGAGCACCGGCTGATTGGGGCGTTTGATCAAAAACGGTGCTTAGAACAGATGATCAGAACACCTACCCGCATTTCCAGCTGCAGCAGCAGCATTGTTTCCGGCAGCAGCAGCAGCGTTATTTCTTTCCGGCAGCAGCAGCGTTTCCTGCGGCGGCGGCGGTTCCTGCAGCAGCGGTTCCCGCAGCAGCAGCATTTCCGGCGGCGGCAGCACCCGCACCGGCCGCAGCACCAGCAGCAGCGGCACCGGCAGCACCACCCTTACCGAACCGCCTTTACCCGAACCGAAACCCTTGCCTGTCTTGGCGCGACCAGCGAGACCTCCGGCGGGGACATAAAGACCGTGAACGTCGGCGACGAGGGAAGGAGACAAGGAGAGCAGAGACGGAGGTCGAGAACTTCATAATGGCGATGAAAGGATTTCGGAAATCAAGAGAATGTGCTACAGACCGGATGAGAGCGAACTGAGAACACCAGACATAATGAGCAAGCTGCAGAGCATCGCGGATAAGACGCGCAATACGACACACTGAAACGAGCAGGCAGCACGGCTGCGAAAAGAGTACGCAGGGGATGGGGGTGAGTGGAAAACTGAAGGCCGGTAGAATGG